AGAAGACGGAAGGAATTTTCTCACACGGAAACTGAAGAGGGTCAGTCAGAGAGACGGCACATTCAGAATTAAATCAGATTAGCGTCAGAATTACTGCAGCATTTTGTTATTTAAACATACAAAATGCAGCTGTGTGATCACCTCATCATTTTCTTTGAGCTAGAACGTTCATATTAGCCTATAAATGGTTCTTTCTTAGCAATTATTTCTATGTTGGACAGTTTTTTTCCCACAGTTTTGTCGAAATACCCCCTTTTAGAGTGCAATGTTAATGTTATGTAACATGCGTTTGGATACATATGATTTACAGGACCTGATGGTGGCTCATTCTCAGCACTGCAGTAACACTGACGTGGTGGTGGTGTGTTGGTGTGTGTTGCGCTGGTACATGTGGATCAGACACAACAGTGCTGCTGGAGTTTTTAAACACTGTGTCCACTCACTGTCCACTCTATTAGACCCTCCTACCTTGTCAGTCCACCTTGTAGATGTAAAGTCAGAGACGATAGCTCATCTGCTGCTGCACAGTTTGTGTTGGTCATCCTCTAGTCCTTGATCAGTGGTCTCAGGACGCTGCCCACAGGATGCTGTTGGCTGGATATTTTTGGTTGGTGGACTATTCTCAGTCCAGCAGTGACACTGAGGTGTTTAAATACTCCAGCAGCACTGCTGTGTCTGATCCACTCAGACCAGCGCAACACACACTAACACACCACCACCACGTCAGTGTTACTGCAGTGCTGAGAATGATCCACCACCCACATAGTACCTGCTCTGTGAGGGTCCATGGGGGTCCTGACCACTGAAGAACAGGGTAAAAGGGGGCTAACAAAGTATCAGAGAAACAGATGGACTACAGTCTGTAACTGTAGAACTACAAAGTGCACCTATATAGTAAGTGGAGCTGATAAAATGGACAATGAGCGTAGAAACAAGGAGGTGGTCATAATGTTATGCCTGATCGGTGTAATTCTGTGGAAACAGTGTTATAATAATGCTTAAAAACACTCTTTACATTCTTTTGATTGAAGTGATAAAAAAGCTAAAAGAGCCGTCTGACAGTTATTAGAGAGCAAGAGAAAAAAATCCTCTCCTTTCATTTGTAGCCAAGTTCAGACTTTATCTTCAGACGTCCTCACAGAACTTAAACTCACACAGAGTCAAATGAGGTCAAGAGGAGATTAGACGCACTTTCAGTCTAGACCAGGGCTCCTCAGGTCCAGTCCTGTAGGGCCAGTGTCCAGCACTATTAGGTGGTTTCCTCCTCAAACACACCCACTAAACCTGCCAGTTAACAGACGAGTTTAATCAGGTGTGTCTGAGCAGGAAAATCACCAAACTGGGCAGGACGCCGGATCTCCCGGACCGGATTTGAGGAGGTCTAGACCTTCAGACAGACTAAATGCACCCTTAACGTGGACAAATGTACGTCTCATAGCTAAAAACAGCAGTAACAGCCTTATATGGCCTGAAATGTGTCCGTACTTTAGTCCATGTTTATGGATAACAGTGTGTCAGAAACCACATAATGAAGTCTATCAGAGATACTGAACAAGTGTGTGAACGTTCAGACATGCAGTTAGCTTAATGCTAATTGGTGAGTTTGGGGATGCATGATAATTTTGGACTCGCTGGGTGGGAATCTAACATGACTTAAGTGTGGAGAAAATTGGGTAAAATTGCAAAAGATCAAAGATATCAACTTTGGATAGATGTTTAGATTTGACTGATATCTGATAAAGTATTTATTGAACTCTAGAAGGTCGGAGTGTTTAGGTGATGCTGGATTACAGCACTGAAATATACGTATTTTACTCATTTTAGTGCATTTATAACCCAACAGAACTATTCACTATGTTATTCACCAATCAGTCATAACATTCCTTGTTTCTACGCTCATTGTCCATTTTATCAGCTCCACTTACTATATAGGTGCACTTTGTAGTTCTACAGTTACAGACTGTAGTCCATCTGTTTCTCTGATACTTTGTTAGCCCCCTTTTACCCTGTTCTTCAGTGGTCAGGACCCCCATGGACCCTCACAGAGCAGGTACTATTTGGGTGGTGGATCATTCTCAGCACTGCAGTAACACTGACGTGGTGGTGTGTTAGTGTGTGTTGTGCTGGTCTGAGTGGATCAGACACAGCAGTGCTGCTGGAGTTTTTAAACACCTCAGTGTAGCTGCTGGACTGACAACCAAAAACACCCAGCCAGCAGCGTCCTGTGGGCAGTGTCCTGTGACCACTGATGGAGGACTAGACCACGGGTGTCACACTCAGTCACTTAAAGGGCCCTATTAAAAATTCTCAACAAATTTGTGGGCCAGCTAAGTTTTTATTTTATTTTTACTTGTCATTTTGCCCTGACCCTGACCGGCCATCGTTTACTCAAAATATACCAAAACTAAAATGGTAAAAAACAGGCACTGAATACTTGAACGATTCAAAAATAAATTTAAATAAAAACATGTTGTTTCGTATAAAACAACTACAAACGACTACATTAGCTCTTTAAATGTGCCCAGTGTACAGTAGGTTTTTAAAACTGCCCATTCGCTTGAACTGGACACCTGGCATCTTTTTTTTTGTGTGCTGCCATCCCATTGATTGTTGGGAGGGGGTGGAAGCACACATTACATTGCCATGCATGCTGGGAACTGTAGTGCAGTTCATGGCGAAATGGGCTAATAATAATAGGAGATTGAAATCATTTTAATCATTGTGCCGCGGGCCTTGTATTTGACACATGGGGACGAGAGGATGACCAACACTGACCAACTGTACAGCAGCAGATAAGCTATCATCTCTGACTTTACATCTACAAGGTGGACTGACAAGGTAGGAGTGTCTAATAGAGTGGACAGTGAGTGGACACAGTGTTTAAAAACTCCACCACCACGTCAGTGTTACTGCAGTGCTGAGAATGATCCACCACCCAAATAGTACCTGCTCTGTAAGGGTCCATGGGGGTCCTGACCACTGAAGAACAGGGTAACAGAGTGCAGAGAAACAGATGGACTACAGCACCTGAATATTGGGCATCGTCCCCCACCATCACCCCTAAGTGGCCTATAAGCTTCCACTTCTTGTTAGCTGTATTAGCCTCGTAGCTCCAGTGCTGAAACTAAAGAAATGATCTTCAGACACCAAACACGTCTCAGCTGCCCGAATGTGTGAATAAGTGTGAAGTGAAGTTTCTCTGAGCTGCTCCTGTCGGTGTTTTTCCTCCTGTCTGTCCGTCTGTGTTCCCTCCTCTGTAACTCCAGACTCCACAGTCTGGAGCCTTTCAGTCATTTTCCTGATTCACCTGTTGGCTCAGCGTTTGGACCGAAAAGGGCTTTTTCTGTTTGTTCAGCTGAGAGTCTGTCTCAGTATAACACAACTACAGCAGCAGGCCTCCCTCTCTCTCTCTCTCCCTCTCTCCCTCTCTCTCTCTCTCTCTCTCTCTGTCTCTCTCTCACCCTCTCTCTCACCCTCTCTCTCTCTCTCCCTCTCTCTCACCCTCTCTCTCTCCCTCTCTCTCTCTCTCTCCCTCTCTCTCTGTCTCCCTCTCTCTCTCACCCTCTCTCTCTCCCTCTCTCTCTCTCCCTCTCTCTCTCTCTCACCCTCTCTCTCTCTCTCTCTCTCTCTCTCTCACCCTCTCTCTCTCTCTCTCTCTCTCTCTCACCCTCTCTCCCTCCCTCTCTCTCTCTCTCTCCCTCTCTCTCCCTCTCTCTCTCTCTCTCTCTCTCTCTCTCTCTCTCTCTCTCTCCCTCTCTCTCTCCCTCTCTCCCCCTCTCTCATCCTCTCTCTCCCTCTCCCTCTCTCTCTCGGGGGGTCCGAGCCCCCATGAGCGTCGCCAACGGCGACAGTGGCAAGGAACAACTCCCTAAGAGTAAGAGGAAGAAACCTTGAGAGGAACCAACACTCAGAAGGGGAACCCATCCTCCTCTGGTCGACACCGGATAGTAAACATTGTTAGTATAAAGTATTGTAGTACAAAAACAGGGAAAACAGGCGGATCAGTGGTTTGAGTAGTTTGAGTTAATGCAGCAGCAGCAGGAGGGTCGGTTCATGCAGGTGAGGTTTGCACAGCGTTGTACAGCATGAAGCTCCATGGTGGTCAAACCAGTCCAGAAGGCTGGTGAGCAGTGGCACCCGATCAAGGCAGAGTGTGTTGTGCTGAAGCAACAGCATCAGACCCACAGGATGGGCAGCTGTTCAACTCAGCAAAGAAAGGAAAAACACACAGAGAGTCAGTTCTGTAAAGAGGGACTGATCACAGATTACAGTGTAACAGAGCAGCAGAGACTCCAGCAAGTCTAGTTATTACAGCCTCACTAAGAGGAAGAAACCAGAAAGGTAACAGAGTCATGAGGCTCCCTGAGATGTCGGCGCCCCTCCACTCCACAGTCAACAAACCTGAGTGAGTGCGTGAGGCAGCAGGACGACAGCACCAACACTAATTACCAAAGGCTCAATTGAACAAGTGGGTTTTTAGCCTAGACCTAAAGACTGAGGCTGTGTCTGAGTCCTGAACACTGACTGGAAGAATTGGGGGGCTTTGTACGAGAAGGCTCTCCCCCCTGATGTAACTTCATTAATTCTAGGTAATCTCCTCCTTTCTCTCCCTCCATCACTGTCTTCTCTCTTTCTCTCTCTCTCAAGTTCAAGTTTGCTTTACTGACATGACAAATTTACTTTTGCAAAACACTACAAAAATTATATATATATATATATATATATATAATATTGTATAATTATATATATATATATATATATATATATATATATATATATATATATATATATATATATGTTATTCTCTCTCCTCCTTCTCTCTCTCTTTCTGTCTCTCCCCCTTTTTTCCCCTCTTTCTTACTCTCGGTTCATAGTAGATCCTGCTTCGTCGTTCTCTCCCTCACTCTGTCTCTCCCTCTTCCCCTCCCTCTCTCTCCTCTTCATTTCTTTCTCTAACTACTTTGCGCTCATAGCTGCTTCCCTCTCCACCCCCTCTCTCTTTCTCCTCCCCCTTCTCTCTCCCTCTCTCTCTCTCTGAGGTGCCCCCTCTCACTCCTCTCTCTCCTCAGCTCTCTGCTCCTCTGTGGATTGTCTCCTGGTCTCGTGGTCTCCTGTCTCTGGAGCGTGTGTGGAGCACCATGCCTGCAGGCAGGACTCGCTCTGGGCTGTCCGTGTTCAGTCTGACCGCGCTGACCGTGCTGCTGCAGTGCTGGACTCCAGCTTTAGGAGTATCTCTGAGTGGAGTTTTGGGTTTGGACGGAGAGACAAAGCAACATGTGGAGCAGAAGATCAAGCCTGCAGCAGGTACTGAGTAACATTAACCCCTTAAACTCCTCTCTGTCTCCATATCCGAGTGTTTTATTCACTAACTGCACTGGAAACTGTGAAATAATAGAGTTATTAGTAAATTATACACCCTTAACTCATTAATGTCCATGTTTAATGTCTTATATTCCCTTTGGGTCCACATGTTATCTGAGCTTGCATGAAAAGGTTCTTGAAATCAGTGAAACTGTATTGCTGAAATTATCACTACATTATTTGTACCACCAATTTTCAACAAAACCAATCCAGAAAAAAAATCCAGTTTTGATTGTTAATAAAAGTATGAAAATGGGTACAGCCGGATGTTCATGAGTGGATCAGTCGATTACACTGCAAAAAATGGTGTCTTGTTAAGTGAAATGATCTTAAATCTAGTCAATATATTTAATAGTTCCCATTCTGAGATGGTTGTGCACTTATTATAAGATTACTTAACTTATTTCTAGACATTATTTACTTGTTTTATGTCGTTTTATTAAGCATTATGATCTATGATCTCACTGTATTGGCAGATAATGTTGCTGGTTTCAAGCTCATTTCATAAAACAAGCAAAATTACCTGCCTATATATTGAGATAATTTTACTGAATAAAATAACCTAAAATGAATAATATTGTCTAGAAATGAGGTAAATCATCTTAAATTAAGCTTATAACAATTTTAACAGGAGAAATATTAGATTTGTTGACTATATTTAAGATCATTTCACTTGACAAAAATACATTTTCTGCGGTGAATCTGTCAAGGCCATCTGATGCACCATCAACTGATGTACAGATCAACAGCTGTTGGACATGAATGGGTAAAAAAAAAGCCCAAAGCCTGAAAAAAGGGTTCTTTAGGATGATGCTAGAGAGGAATAACTTTTGGGGAGCCAAGAAGAGGATATGGGTCATTCGGTCCGATTGTATCAAGTAATTTTTATATTCAGGTACATTAAATGTTGAAGTTGGGGCTCGGCGATTAATCGATTATTATTTTTAGTTATGAATTTGGCTTCCAATGATTATGAAAACAAGATATGCACACAATATTGCTCTCATTTAGTCTTGTGGTATATATCCGGCACACTATATACGCTATAGATGCTATAGATGGTTCTACGTTTATAGAACTGATTCAAAAAGGGTTCCACATAGCACCCAAAAGCGTTCCTCAGACGGATGGAGAACGTGCTATGGATGGTTCTCTGTACAAACTTTTTGAAAAGGGTTCTTCTATTGTTGCAAGCTTGACACCGTAACATAGAAGAACCCTTTTAGGTGCTATACTGAAGTACACTGCAAAAAACAGTATCTTGTCAAGTAAAATTATCTCAAATATAGTCAATAAATCGAATATTTCTCCTGTTGAGGTTGTTGTGAGCTTAATTTAAAATTATTTACTTTATTTCTAGACATTTCTTACTTGTTTTAAGTAATTTTATTAAGTATAATTATCTCACTATACTGGTAGGTAATTGTGCTTGTTATAAGAAATGAGCTTGAAACCAGCAAAACTATCTGCCAGTATAGTGAGAGATAGTTTTACTCAATAAAATGACTTAAAACAAGTAAAAATGTCTAGAAATAGGATACATAACCGTCTCAGAATGGGGAATATTAGATATATTGACTAGATTTAAGATCATTTCACTTGACAAGACACCATTTTTTGCAGTGTATTTTCAAAAAGGTTCTATTTAGAACCATATACAGCACATTCTCCATTAGGCTAAAGAACCGTTCCATGATGCAAAGAACCCTGTAATCATGCAAAGGGTTCTTTGAGAGTTTACAGTTCAATTTATACTGAAAATACAAAAAAGTGACCTCCCAGTTTTATACTGTATATACTATATTAATCTTAAAGCTTAATTAATTCATTAACTCAATTAATTCAGTAACTTTTATATTCAGTAGACAATTTGCATTCATGTATTCAGCATCTACTAAGAAACTAATGTGTACGTTCTGTAGTTATGAGAGGAGTTTAAGGGGTTAACAGTGATGTATGACTTTCTAACATCACTACGTATACACTCCCCGGCCACTTTATCAGAAACGCCTCTGTTGTAGCTCCACCCTGCTGGCGGGCGGTTAGAGACTGAAGCCCCTCTGTGGATGTACAGTTTGTGTTAGCCATCCTCCAGCCCTTCATCACTGGTCTACATAGTGGACCTTTGAGGTAGACGTTTCTAATAAAGTGGCCAGGGAAATGAGTGAGGTAGCTCTTTGGGATGATGCAGATGTTTGTCTCCATTACACAAGCTGAGTTTTCTCAGAGCTGACAGTTCTCTCTCCGCAAACCTGGGAGAGGAGTAAAGGTGTCAAAACCTCAGCCAAGAATCATGAATATTAAACTGGCATAAGGCTCGATTGGCTCAGCAGCTCTCTAGACTGGAGTACTCAGACACAGCTGAGCATGTTGGGCGACGTTCGTTCATTCCAGTGTTTTACTATCTGGCAGATGAATGAGGTGCAGCGGAACTGAATAAGCAAATAATCGTGCATCAGAATGTCTCAACAAGAGGAAAGATAACCAAGGAATCCCTTTTAGAACATTTCAAAAGGCCAGACTAATGGGATTTATGAGCAAGCGAGAGATTGACTCTAATGTTACTGAGGAAATATGGGTAATGACAGGCTTAGAGGTTCAATCGCCCCTCAAGATTTTCCATGGAGCTAGCGGGCCCTTCTCTGGCGTCCTTGATAGAGCATTTAAACCTCTACATAATGAGAAAAGCAGAAGGGTTTGGGTTTTACTCTACTTTATTTGCTCAAATGTGGGGCAAAAGCGAATGAGTACATTATCAGATGCGATCAATGATGACACAATGGCCCAGTCCCATTTCTCATTTTTACCCCTACCCCTTGTTTTCGAGGATCTTCTTGCCCCTGGGAACTGAGTTACAGGGTAGTGGTTGAAATCGTCCCTCTGAAATGGGACCCTCAAATAAAAAGAGCATCACTTCATTAATAGCTACTAGTGCTGCTCTGTAGGCGACCCTGCCAGTCTGCAGTGACAGCAGAGGAGGGTAAAGTTCAGCTCCTCACTGCTGGGCTTTAGTTACATTTAGGGCATCAGATGCCTTCAAAGAGGGGGGCAATTATTTATTATCACCCACCCCTAATTCTTCAGTGATATGAAGCTGAAGTCAGTTTTTTTTTCGCCAGCTTCTCTTTCAAATTTTCCTGTTCCACCTTAAATGGTGCAGCAGTTACATTCTGGCGCTTCAGGCGTCAGAACTGCTGGACTATTTAAGGTGGAATGGGAAAGTTAGGTATCCAGCTACTGAGACATTAGCATGCTACTAGTGATTTTTTATGCTTGTTGTGAAGAAAACGACCATAATCCACTGAAACAACGTTAAACTAAGATGATATGATGGTTATTTGTAATTTTTAACAGAGAATTTTTTCACATTTGTGGGTTTCTTTGGTCTCTTGTTCAGCCATCTTGCTTCTTTTTCTCATAACTCTCTGTTTAGAGTCTTTGAAAAACCTCAGTTTGGAGGGTCATGTAGCCCAAACACTTCGCCCTACCCCTCTATCTCAACAAGAATTGGGACACCCTACCCCTAGACATGAACACGCAAAACAGAGGGCTGAGGGCTGAGTGGGAGGGGCGAGGGGTGAAATGGGATTGGGCCAAACAGACAGCTGGTGGTAAAAGATGTGTTATCACCATCATAGTGCTACTTATGTGTACTTTTTGTTGTAAGTACAGATAATCATAGTGCTTACAAGATCACAATTTAACCATTTTCCCCCTTAAGTAAACCCGAGAGGTCCATAAGTATTTGGACAGTGACAAAGTTGAAGCAAGAGGCGCCTTTTGGTGTTGCTGAGCTCGACGGTGTATTTCTTCTTTTAAACAATGTACCAGGTTGTTAATTTGGGCACTTGTAAAGTTATTGCCATCTCTCTGGTTGGTTTGTTTTGTTTTTTTCAGCCTAATCACGGCCAGCTTCACTTGCATGGACACATCTTTGGGCTGCATATTGAGATTTACCATAAACCTAATGCATATTCAACACTTGGAATTGACTTCAAAACTTCTTGTCGCCTTAATTTGTGACGAAATAACGAGGGAACAGGCCACACCTGGCCGTTAAACTGCTTATCAGCGAAGTGTCCGATTACTTTTGGGTCTGTGAAAGTAGAAGGACTATGCTGCAGTATCTAATGTTAAAGCCATTGAATTAAAGCTGAAAGTCTACGCTTCAAACACATCTTGACGTCTTCGTTTAAAATCCATTGCGGTGGTGTACAGAGGCAAAAGTACAGAAATGGTCACTGTCCAAATACTTATGGACCTGACTGTAGTTGAGTTGCTAAGACATGTTCGGTGTCTGAAGTTTGCTTCTTTAGTTTTGGACTGAGGCTGGTGTGGCTAACCAGTAATCGAAACATGTGTACACCAATTAGCATCCAGCCAGTCAAGGTAATGACAGGTAATCTGAACTTGCTTATGTGGTTTCAGACACTGTTTATAAACATGGACTGAAGTACAGAATGAACTCAGGCTCCAAGGTGGCTCAGAGGCTATACTGGGAGCTTTAGAAGAGCTTTATTGAATGGTTCTATATGGAAACGTTTTTTTTAACTAAAGAAGCATTGAAGAACCATCTTTTTTAAGAGTGTACTACACGCTTGTAAAGGGAGAGGTGAGGGAGGGGGTTGCAATATGCCACCTCACCACTAGATGCCACTAAATCTTACAATAAAATGTATCATGAACATCAGATTTACACAGATCAGGCATAACATTATGACCACCTCCTTGTTTCTACACTCATTGTCCATTTTATCAGCTCCACTTACTATATAGGTACACTATGTAGTTCTACAGTTACAGACTGTAGTCCATCTGTTTCTCTGATACTTTGTCAGCCCCCTTTTACCCTGTTCTTCAGTGGTCAGGACCCCCATGGACCCTCACAGAGCAGGTACTATTTGGGTGGTGAATCATTCTCAGCACTGCAGTAACACTGACGTGACGTGGTGGTGTGTTAGTGTGTGTTGTGCTGGTGTGAGTGGATCAGACACAGCAGTGCTGCTGGAGTTTTTAAACACTGTGTCCACTCACTGTCCACTCTATTAGACACTCCTACCTTGTCAGTCCACCTTGTAGATGTAAAGTCAGAGACGATAGCTCATCTGCTGCTGCACAGTTTGTGTTGGTCATCCTCTAGTCCTTCATCAGCGGTCACAGGATACTGCCCACAGGACGCTGTTGGCTGGATATTTTTGGTTGGTGGACTATTCTCAGTCCAGCAGTGACACTGAGGTGTTAAAACACTCCAGCAGCACTACTGTGTCTGATCCACTCGTACCAGCACAACACACACTAACACACCACCACCACGTCAGTGTTACTGCAGTGCTGAGAATGATCCACCACCCAAATAGTACCTGCTCTGTGAGGGTCCATGGGGGTCCTGACCACTGAAGAATTTCCTCGAAGAACCATCGTTTTTTAAGAGTGTAGACAAACTTACAGAGTCTGATGTCTTTACAGAACCACCAGCTAACCTACACACACTTTCTGGGTTTGTCTGCATCTCAACAATTTGTCTGAAATGGTCCCTCAAAGCTGCTTTGGCACAGTGGCTGTGGTGGAAACCTCCAAACTAATAAATCTGAATGGAATTAAAGTGAAATTTTCTGGCTCCTGAATGAGGTTAGATGATTGTGAAAGGCAGTGTTGAGTAGAAGGATTTAAACCTGAAATATAATATATTTTCTTTCAATCTGCTTGAGTGGGGGAGACTTTTTTGGAGACGGATTTGTGCTTCGCAAATTCTGTTCAGCATAAAATAATCCCAAAATAAATAACATCGTTAGATAGTTCAGCTCTGATTAGTCTCACACTGTAGTTTAGGGCTAAGAAGCGTGACTGACAGCTCGAGAAAACAGCCGGCTAATCCTCAACACACACACACACACACACACACACACACGCACACACACACACACACACACACACTGATGTAGTTACTAGCCTGGCCGTGTGTTTGAACAGTGAGATCAGTGCAGTGCGGGGGAAGGTGGCTGAATATCTGGAACTTTCTCTCGGAGGCTGAAAGGGCCCAACGAGACAGGACAGGATGAGCTCCGAGTGCCAGAGTGTCTGGGTCAACGTGGGATCCTGTCTGTGTGTGTTTGTGTTTTTATCTCTTTGTGGGCTCTTTATGGGTCCTTTATCCTTCCAGGGTGATGAAAAATGAATACTTAGCGGTTGTGGGGACATCTGGCTGCTCTCCATGAGGAAAAATTCCCCCCAAAACGTCAGCTTTTATTAGAGCAAAATAGACCAAAGCTGATCTTTCGGTTGGGTGAGGTGGAAAAGCATATACACAAAACCATGAAGACAGGCCTAAAAGACTAATGTAGTAGGGTCATTCTACAGAAACGTCCACTTTTCCGTCTCTCCATAGGAGTCACTGGTGTAACTGATCCTCATTGGTGTAACACATAATAAAGGAAACACCAGAGACATTTTAATGAACAATGCATTTTACAGAATGGCTGCTACAGATCATCAAACCATGTTGTCAATCATAGAATATCCACTAAAATATGGAATTTAATCCATTTGTATTCTATTTTTCCACAATTACCTCAGAATAAAGTCGGTCACACCAGTTAAGCTAAAGGCTTCATATGAAATCATGAGCTGAATGACAAAATCTCTGATAACTGAAAGACACAGTGGACTCACCATGAGCTTTTCTTCATAGATCCTAACAGGTAAAAGGAAGTCAAGTGATGTCACCAGTGTGACCTTTATTTCAAAATAAGAGATTTTTTGTTACACAGTAACACCAGTGATATGATTCCTGGGCACAACTTTCATTATATATTTTATAATATTTATCTGGCATTTGTTTTCTTTATGTCATTTGAATCATATTTCATAGTCATGTATAGATTATTGTAGTTAAAAATAGCAGAAAAACGTTTTTTACCTCAAAATATGGCCTCAGCTTTTACACATGACTGTGAGGACGAGCTCTTCTGTGGTGCTTGGAATTCTATATGATTGATTTAAAAACAAGTATTGCTAAACTGAGGCTCAAGAAGGTGTAATTGTAAAAATAGCATTGTTTTATTTTAAAACATAAAAAAATTGTAACCCTGACATGTTTTTCAAGTGTAATATGTCTGTAAACACTAGGGACACAGAAATGCACGTTTCTGTAGAATGACCCATTTAAGTGTGTTCTTCTTTCACCAGACTTGCTACAAGTAGTGATAACACCCTCACATGGAGAGATCCAAGTGGGAGAGAGCAAAAGGTTCCGGTGCGAAGGTGAGACTGTTAAACTTTACGGAATGTTAACCTTTATCTTTTACCTGTAAAAGTGCAGTGTGTATAATTTAGGGGAATATATTAGCAGAGATGGAATACAGTAAACAAAACCATGTTTTTATTAGTGTATAATCACCTCTTACTATGAATCATCATGTTTTCATTAGCTTAGAATGAGCCCTTCACATCTACAGAGAGAACGGCTCTTTTTCCAACAGAGGCTGCCGCCGCCATGTTTCTACAAGAGCCTAGAACAACAAACCAAACTCTGCCTCTAGAGGGCGCCTTTCGTGTTTTTACATTAAAATGGCAGCTTGAATTTGGTGACGCTGTAGCTCCGGTTGGAAGACGTAGAAAGAAGAAGAATCAGCGGTTGCTGTCGGTGCTGCTGCCCATTTTGTGTTGTGAGAAGTTTAAGCACCCAAATTTTGACAAATGGAGGATCAGACTTGATCAGACTAGCACAAAAAAAGCAAGCTAGGGTGAATCTTTGTCATCAAAGAAGAGAAAACATGAATAAGCAAAATGAGATCAGGACAGACGACGGTAGGTCCTACACAATTAAAAAAGATGGTTCTTCAAGAGTTCTTTAGTAAAGAAATTGGTTCTATATAGATCCATGAACACTCAAAGCACCCTTTGCATGATTGAAAAGTTCTTTCTATCGTGAAATGGTTCTTCAGATTGATGGAGAATGTGTTGTATATAGTTCCATATAGCATCAAAAAGGATTCTTCAAATGTTACAAGCTTCACATCGTAACAATAGAAGAACCTTTGGTGCTATATAGAAGCCTTTACAAATAGGTCCATGATGCAAAGAACCCTTTAATCATGGTTCTTTGAGTGTTCATGGTTCTATATGGAAACATTTTTTTACTAAAGAAGCCTTGAAGAACCATCTTTTTTAAGGGTGTACTACACGTTTGGAAAGGGAGGGGTGAGGGAGATGGTTGCAATCTGCAACCTCACCACCAGATGCCACTAAATCTTACACACTGCATCTTTAATTTTTTACCCAATTTAATCATAATCATATCCAACTGCTAGATAGGTCTTCACTTATCACACCACTGAGCTGGGAGGGTGAAGTCTAGCATGAGCTTCCTTAGAGACACGGTCATCTTATAAACCAATGCAACGTCATTGGAGAGCTTAACATGCTTGGAGGATAAGGCTAACTGTGACACCACTCCTTGGCTAGCATGGCACTGAATGACCTCAGTAGGGTCAGCACTGCTCGAGAGCCAAAGTGACCGATTGATTTTCATTTGGAATTTTATAGATTTTATCAGAAGGACTTTATTAATGTAGCTTAAGGCAACATATTGTCACATTTTCTGTCTTGTAAAATATGGCAATACAATGAGAAATGTTGGCATCAAATCTCTTAGAGAAGCTTCAGCCATGCTAGAGTAGCTAGTGGTGTATGCTAAGGTGCTAATTTAGCAAGCTAACCACATTACAACAGTTAAAGCTGGTGAACATTCTGCTTAGTCTAACAACCATATTGTTGTTGTCAGAAGAAAACCTTGTGTCTTCAAAACAGCAACTTTACAGGAGAAGGAAAAAACATACATTACTTTTAATGTAAGTCAATGGAACCAGAAATTTTTTCAATCAATTTTGGGCCGTTTGTTTTAGTCCATTCATCATGAAATTTACACACAATGTAAAGGGCAATAGGTATCTTCTAATTATGTCAAAAACTGAAAAATGACACAAATGGGAATACGAGGTTTTCTTCCGACAGCGGCGATATGTTTATCATTAATAACGTGTTAACGTAGATATTATGTCAAAAAACTGAGTTGTGTTGAGTTACATTGTGTCAGGTTTCTATAAAGTTTGTCCAGCAAAGCAAGAGTTGCTATGGTACAAACTCTTGCCCTCCAGTTGTGGATGAAGCATGTATAGAGTAATTAAAACTCCATCCCTCTGGTGGCTTTCTGACTTACATGCTCCTCAAAAGTCCATAAATGTGCTAATTGCTCTGTGTGGTTTCAGTGGTCGGAGGAGCTGTAAACATTGACTGGATTGCCCCAAATGGAGAGAAAATCCAGGAAAAACACAGAAACGTCAGAGTGCACCGACACGACAGGACGTCCTCCTCTCTGACCATCCACGCGGCCAGGACGGAGGATGCTGGAGCTTATACGTGTGTGGCTGAAAACACTGAGACTGCAGCGCAGGCCAGCGTCGACCTGGAGGTCCTCTGTAAGTGCAGCTCAGAGCGATGCTATAAAACTGCTAAAGAGCTGTAAAACCGTCATAAGTGTGTGAAGCCTCGGGGGTCTGGCCATGATTTTATTAACTTCTTTTTTCCATTGTTTGTGAATGTTTGAGTTTCCTCAGTACAAACTAAACATCTGCACAAACACTGGTCTAAGGGGAATTCCACCAGTTTTCAAAATCTCAGCATTGAAAAGTAAAGTTATACAGAACTTCTTGAAGGAAAATGAGCCTTTATAAAGAAACTTGAAGCAACTCAGATTTCTTTACAGTACCGGTGATAGGAACAACACAAATATAGCAATTTGTTTGTTATTGAAACAGTGACTTTATATGGTTCTTCTGTGTTTCGCAATGTTAATAATGCTAAAATGTAAATCCACAAACATCTGTTTTCTTCAGCTACAGTGAGGATCGTGGAAGTAACCAGAGGATGTAGTATATTAGTATTTATACAACAGTGAGTTCCGGCCATGCAAGCTGATTGGTTGAGAAGTGTTCTAACTGTGCTGTTATTTCACCATAACATCAAGGATTTTTCACAAACACTGCTAAGCAACAACTTTGACAGCTGTAGGAGACGCTCAAGACATTTGAAGATTAAGATTAGATTTGACCGACAGCCGATTTGGTCAGACTCTGAAGATGAGACGACACTAAATTCCCAAACTGTCATCACCACTGAGCAGCTTTTCAGTCGGCAGCTGAGACAGAAGAACAGCTGAACGACCTGGAATCAGCCAGAAATGAACCCAACACCATTCGCCAAACTAAATGGGCTGTAAGATGCTTTACAGACTGGCTGGAACAAAACAACATTAATACTGATCTGGCAAAAACTGACAAAACTGAGCTAAACTTGATATTGCGGCAGTTTTACAGCTCAGTCTGATTTGGTCAGACTCTGAAGATCAGACTACACGTTTGGCGAATGGTACTGGGTTCATTTCTGGCTGATTCCAGGTTGTTCAGCTGTTCTTCTGTCACAGCTGCCGACTGAAAAGCTGTTCAGTGGTGATGACAGTTTGGGAATTTAGTGTAAGGAGCTGGAGAACGAACTGCCGGCTGTGCAGCGAGTGGGCGGAGCTCGTTACTCTGACGTAGCAACAAGCTGCTCGTTAAGGAACTATAATTTGGTGAAGGAACTGCGAACATTGAAACATATTAAACGCCGCGTTCACGGCCCAGTTTATTAATTTATTACTGTATTTATTTAACTGTTGTATTAAAGCAGTAGAACACTCGAGGAGTGTGTTATCGCCAATAACATCACGGCTGTGATGATCTACGGTGACCAAATCACAGTCATGATGTTATTTCACTGTAACACACTCCCTCTGTGTTCTACTGCTTAAATACTAACTCAGTATGATCCTCCTGAATAGTGCATTCTTCATCACACCAATCCTAATTACTTCTCTATGGAGCCCCTGAAAGAATGTGCTGTAATTTTTTTGTGGTGAGCACCAGATACTATGTGAAGAGCACTAGATACTACTAGTGCACATACATTATACTATTAGGTGCACACTAGATACTGTCAGGTTTGTATCAGATACAATCAGGTGCGTACCATAAACTATTAGGTGCATACCAGATACTATTAGGTGACCACTGGATACTGTCAGGTGAACACCAGATACTATTAGGTGCACGCCAGGCACTAGTAGGTGCCCTCTAGATACTATAGGGTTAGCACCAGATACTATTAGTTGCACACCAGATACTATTAGGTGACCACTAGATGCTGTCAGGTGAACACCAGATACTATTAGGTGCACGCCAGGCACTATTAGGTGCCCTACAGATACTATTGGGTTAGCACACACTTGGTACTATTTACTATGTGGTGAGCATCTGATACTATCAACAGTGGACCAAATATGCATAGAATCTGGTACGTACCTGATAGTATCAGGTGCATAGTATTTGGTGCGCACCTATTAGTGTCTGGTTATCTAAATAACCCACCACGTCCCTTTAGGGTCTCTGTACTTCTGAAGAAGCTCATTACAATGAAGTTTTGGTAAACAGTTGAAATTACCCCTTAGAAAATTCAGGATTTTTAACGTCACAGTGTAAAGTACTGATATATTTAAACTTATACGTATGTATAGTATATACTGTGATGTATGCAATGAAAATGGACAGTGCAGTATAGTTTTACATTAAAAAACGCTTTAGGGTTAGGGTTCGTTTGGCTCCATGACACCTACATAAGCCTTTCATGACAGCTGACATAGACCTGCATAAACGTAAATAAAGGCCTGTGCCAACAAGTGTTGTTGTCTGTATAGGTTTATGTCAGTTGTTGTGAAAAGCTAATGTAGTCTTATGAGTGCTGCCCTTCAGCAAAGCGTTACTGAATGCTTTTACATGCATAAGTCATATTTCCAGCCAAACATATAAAAACACACTTTTTATTTAGTAATATTTTGCAGGCTGCTATTTTCCGTGCCTAAATGTGGCTATGTTTCCAAAGTATTTGGCCTGTTTCATAACTGCTATTATGCTGGAGGTCATTCGTATCACTGCACGTCAACTTTAATCTCGTATGTCCTAAGAGATATTTTCTCTTCCTGAAAGCAGCTGTTTTGGAAAATTTTGTATTGAAACTGCAAATCCTTAAGCCATGTGTTTGGAACTTTGGAACTTGGATATCTTCATGGATTTAATTCTATTTATTTGTTTGTCTCTCTTTTGGTACAAAAGACCAGACACTGAGCTGAGCCTGGGGCCCGAAGGAAAGAGTAAAGTCTTTTGGCAGCAGTAGCGCAGCTCTGAAAGAGCCAGACTGGGTGGGTTTATGTGGGTTTTTCAGCCTGGACTGAGTTTCACTTTAATAACTCCTGGTCCTGTTCCTGATTCTGCGCCGGAGAGAAACAGTGCTTTGAATGTATTTGACTCAAACATCAACAAACAAATGATGCTGAAACAATACAGTTACTGCCAAAAGTAAAAGGGCAAACAAACAGTGTATATTTTATATGAAAATGGTAAAAAGACACAGACACCTGTGGTGATGTGGTACGTTTTGTCCATGTGGAACTGACCTGTCAAACTGGGGACCTTCCAGGCCAAAATGGCCTGCTAATTATCTGATGAGCTGAATCAGCTGTGTTTAATGAGGCAGTGAGCTGAAGTCTGCCGTGTTTTGACTCGTGAGGACTGGAGCCTGACACACGTGATGTAGAACCACTGAATATGTTTAGATCAGTACTTTCAAAGCAGTCTTTGTTTTTCAGTGTAAACCACACAGCGATCTCGATCACTTGGGTTTGCTCATGTTAGCTTAGCTGTGAGGAACAACTGAGACAATAAATATCTGCAGTAGTTTTGCAGAAACTCTTTTTAAAACTATTACTAAACAAAAAAAAAGCACAAATGACAGATTTTGAAACCAAAATATGCTAATGTTGCATTTCTTGTCAGACAAAAAAGAGTCTAAATTTAAAATGAATAATTTAAAGGTGAAATGCTGTAATAAATTAATACCCATACAGAGAATACAATATGAAATCAATACTACACCAAAAATTCTACTTTTTTCAGAAAATAAAACAAAAGAAAAACTATAAGTAGACAATGAACTGAAACTGAAATTGAAAACCTAATGAAGAAATAAAAACTAATGAAAGTTTTATTTCAGGGAAAAATAAAAGCCAATGTCAGCTAATATCCCGGATATGGAGTAGCAGTGAATGTGCGTTTCTCCAGCCTTCGGGAAAATGTGACGCAGTTTTCCCACTTTGACTCAGACACAAAGCTTCACAGTGACTGAACTGCTGACTCTGACCTCTTTTCATGGTCCTAAAGACGTAACCGGTAATGAGGCTGAAACTCTTCTCCGTTTACTCCCCCTGTGGGATTCGGGAGCCGCCTGGCTGAAGTCCCTCTTCTGCTCTAAATCAGTTTACACTGAGATTAGCAGGAAGGGCCGTTAAACTCGGCTGAACTAACGGAACATATTTCTGGTTCAGACAGTGTTTTTAAGGGGAGTTTGTAATGTTTGATGCTGAGGCCATGATAAGCTGCATGTTTAGACCAAGACTTCATAACTGACCCTTTTAATGAGGGTTTCGGTGAAAAACACCAAAGTCTAATGCAGTGAGATCACTGACCAGAAGTGCAACAGCAGCTCAGTGGTAATTATTACATGAAAGAAACAACACTAAAACATCAAAGATATCAATATTTAACATATATAGTACAGTATAATGTATAATACATCACTGTTGTTGGAAGAAAACCTTGTATCTCCAAAATGGTAACTTTACAGGAGAAGGAAAAAACACACTTTACTTTGAATGTAAGTCAATGGAACCAGAGTTTTTTTCAAGGCATTTTCAGTCATTTCTGTAAGTCCATTCATCATGAAATTTACATACAATGTAAAGGACAACAGGGATTTTTAGATAATGTAAAAAAACTGAAAAACGTCAAAAATTGAGATACGAGGTTTTCTTCCTACAACAGCGAAATATAATATATAGAACGTATAAAACGTATCTCTGCTGTCAGAACTAAACCTTGTATCTCCATTTTTTTGTTGCTTTTCAGTTTGACATTGTTGGGCTTTACATTGTGTGTAAATCTCACAATGAATGGAGCAGAAAAAATGGCCCAAAATTGCTTGGAAAAACGTCTGGTTCCATTGACTTACATTAAAAGTAAAGTAGGTTTTTTCCTTCTTCTGCAAAGTTACCATTTTGAAGATACAAGGTTTTGATCCTACAGCAGTGATTTATATATATAGGTTTAAATACAGATCAAAGTGGATTCCAAAGTATGTAAATGAAACAGTAAAACCAACAAACAAACATGTATGACAAAAAGAATGCGGAATAACAAAAACAGATGTTTTTCACTAAAGGCAAAAAATAAAAAGACAGATCAAGCATTAAAACTAACAGAAAGAGAAAGGAAATAAATTATAGGGTAGAAAATTTTAAATTTTAAAAGAGAACTAATAATAAGAACAGCCTAACGAGTCCTAACGAAATGCTAATTTAAAGATGTTTTCAGCTGCTCTTGAAAATGTTGTGAATATTAATCAGTAAAGAGTTTTCGGTGGTCTTATAGTTGTGCGTCACAGCAGAATCCTGCTTGGGTTTTTCATCCTTTCTTTATCCTCTTTCTTCATCCCTCTATCCAGTGAAGAGAGTCCGGAGAGGACCAGCGAAGGAGGGAAGGGAGAAGAGGCAGAAAGACCCCAAACCCTCCAAGAAACCCAAAGGCCCAAAGCCCACCAAGAAGCCCAAGGGTGAGAAAACCACCAAGAAGCCTAAAGGGGAGAAGAAGAAGAAAGGAAAGAAGAATAAAGAGATCATCACCACCACCACCACCACCACCACCACTCTACCACCTACGACCACCACTTTACCGCCTACCACCACGCCTCTGATCGTGTACGACGAGGAGTTTTTTGACCCAGGGCTTGATGAGTACTGGGATGAAGGTTGGAGAACCGTTTATGTTTTTATTCACATTTTTCTGTGTTTTTCTTGACCGAAGCCAAAAGTGTCCAAAAGTACACAGACAGGCCTTTTAATGAGTGAAGTCAGCTAATTTAAGATCACACAGGCTTTTGATTGTGCAAATACATCTTGTACAATATATGTAGAAAAGCACTGACCACTAGAATGAGATGCTGTGGAGCAGCCACATATGAGCCTAAGGTCACCATGTCCAGTGCCCAGCATGGGCTAGAGAGGTATGAAGCCCCCCAGCATTGGGCTGTGGAGCAGTGGAACTGTGTTCTCTGGTGTGATGGAGCTCCATCCAATACCTTTGGGATGAGTTTGTGATCCAGAACAAACCATCCAACATCAGTACCTGACCTCACTAATGCTCAATCAAATCCTCACAGCAATGTTCAACATCTAGTGTAAAGTCTTCCCAGAAGAGTAGAGGCTGTTACTGCAGCAAAGGGAGAGAAATTCACTATTAATACCCTTCAGTTCATAAGAAACGCTGGAGGAAGAAACTTTTGAACATTTAGTGTATTTCCAGTTTGTAATCCATCTTTCTGAGTGGCAGAAACACTTTTTATACATATTTATTTAGCATTAATGATCACAAATGAACTTAAACTTTTAACCTCTAGGCTTGTTACTCAGTATCTACCATGAATTATTCAGTAATTACTATGAATAATTAGTATCTACTGTGAGTTATTCAGTATGTATTATGAAATATTCGATATCTACTATGAATTATTCAGTGCCTACTTTGAATAATTAGTATCTACTATGAAATATTCAGTAGCTATTATGAAATATTCAGTATCTACTATGAATAATTAGTGTCTACTATGAATTATTTAGTGTCTACTATGAATTATTTAGTAAGTACTATGAAATATTCAGTATCTACTATGAATAATTAGTGTCTACTATGAATTATTCAGTATCTACAATGAATTATTTAGTATCTACTTTGAATAATTAGTATCTACTATGAATTATTCAGTAACTACTAAGGATTATTTAGTATATTTTTATTAGTATCAGTGCACTATGTAGTATTATGAAACTAATGTGTAAGTTGTGTAGTTATGATAGTGAGAAATTCTAGACCCAGTCACGGATCTTTAGGGTCATTTTTCCAGACCCAAATTTAGGTTCAGCTACATTTAGACCCACATTCAGCCTTTTAGACTAAAAAGAATTTGCATCATCAGTGAGTGTGTTTACATTCACTTAATAGTCTGATCACTGCAGTAAATCAGATTGTGTCAGTAACTGGTTCAGTGTGTTTACATGCTCAAGTAACCAGATAATGGGTAATGGGATTTCTGCTTTACATCCAGCCAATAAACTATCAGAATAAGACGTGGCGTAAACATAACGTAAAAATCATCATCATGCCACAGCTTTTTTTTTTAAACATCGAGTCACTTCAGTGGAAAATATGAATATACATAATCCAGAAGATGAAGAATATTGAAATCCTGAATTTGGTCGAGCGTGTAGTCGGTTTCAGCGTCGTTCCAAAAGTGCTGTGTTGGTCTCGCGGGTGCTGTGTTAAACGCTGCTCGCTGTTTCCGGGACGGCCCTCTGTTTTCACACGTGCTCAGACTGAGAGAAACGAAAGAAATCAGAGTAAGAGTTTACATGCGCTGAGAAATCTGATTACTGAGCTCAAATCCAGCCTCTTCATCAGATTTCTTAATCATATTTCTAGGCCTTTATCTGATCATGCTGTTTAGATGACTACTTGAATAATCAGATAACTGCCGAAATCTGAGATTGGTTAGTTTATTTAGTGCAAACAAATGTATTTATTGATGATCAGTGCCTGGGAAACTGGCCCTTAGAGTTAAGCTTGACTCATCGAAGGCCAGCAGTGGGTTTGGTGGTATTAAACAAAGAGTTCTAAGGCTGTGTTAGTCACCATTGTTATTCATGGAGTAAATTCCAATAACTGTTTGTTCCCCAGTGTACACTACAGAACAAGCCCCAGCAGTGGTCACTGATTCACCCACAGAAAGGCCCACTGAAGCTGATATAGACTTCCCCACAGACTTCCCGACAGACATCATTCCGGATGTGGAGGAGTATCCTAATCCTTATCCTGACTCAGGTAAAACATCTGTTTCCAGCTGTCCCGTCCACTCTACTGTGTTCTTTAACAGCTACAGCTGGGAAAGTTCAGGTGTTTATGTATGTTTTTTGTTATGTAATCAAGCTTTTCAGAGATCTGAACCTGATTGGTTGATAGGCTCGAACATTCACCAGCTTTAGCTGTATTAGTTAGGTTAGCGCCGTAGCCTTCAGCTCTAGATACTGTTGCGCGGTTGGCTGAAGGTTTTCTTGCAGATGACCTTCAGCTCGTCATGCCAAATACTGACATTCATACAAAAACACTGCACAAATATGATGTATGGTGATTTGAGCTATTGGCATTTTCATTAAGTGAGAATTCAGTTTTCTTCTTATTCTTCTTATTATTATTCCTTTTCTTCTTCTATCTCTTGTTCTTCTGTTGTTCTTCTTCTTTTTCTTCTTCTCATTCTTCTTCGTCTTCGTTCTCTTTTTCTCATTATTCTTCTTCTTTCCTTCTTCCTCTTTTTCTTCTTATTGTTCTTGTTCTTCATCCTTTTCTTTCTCTTCTGCTTCTTCTTCTTCTCCCTCCGGTTCTTCTCATTGTTCTTCTTGTTTTCTTCTTCCTCTTCCTCTTCTTCTTGTTCTTCTTGTTCATCTTCTTTTTCTTGTTGTTGTTGTTCTTCTTCTTCCTCCTCTTCTTTTTTTTGTTTCGCTTCTTTCTCTTCTTCTCATTCTTCTTCTTCTTTCTCTTCTGCTTCTTCTCCTTCCTGTTCTTCTCATTCTTCTTCTTTTCTTCTTCTTCTTATTGTTCTTGTCTGTCTTCTTGTTCTTGTTCTTCTTCCTCCTCTTCTTTTTCTTGTTTTGCTTCTTTCTCTTCTTCTCATTCTTCTTCTTTCCTTCTTCCTCTTCCTTTTCTTCTTATTGTTCTTGTTCTTGTTCTTGTTCTCGTTCTTGTTCTTGTTCTTCTTGTTCTTGTTCTTGTTCTTCTTCTTCTTCTTCTTCTTCTTCTTCTATCCATCCTCTCTATCTCTATCATCCAGAAGATGATGACTACTGGTTGGTAGGTGAGACCAAACCCACAGAGCCAGTTATCAGCGTCACGGGTAAAGACGGCGATTACTGGGATGCTACATGTAAGTGTCTCCTTATTGGTCTCCTATAGTGTCGAATCAGTGTTTCTCTCAGAGGAGAGTTTTGGTGGACAGTGAATCTGCAGAGTTGACCACGTTGTGGCTTGGTCAGGATTGTGTTAGATGTGGACAGTTTTCAGACATAATGACTGAGTTGCAGTAGGATTTTCTGTGGTGAAGTCTTGTTTTGTGAAAAATAAAACATTTTTTCCATCAAAACAGATGGAAGTTAGAAGTGCAGACTTGAACCTGTCAATACTGACAGTAAATCAGATAAATGCAGTTCCTTATGGTTCTTAATGGTTAAGGAAAACTGTTTTCCATCCTAAGCAGGTCACTCTCAGCTGTACGCATTGTTCTTTGTTTGAAGTGAAGTATCACTGTGCAGCTGGTTGTCATTGCAGGCACATTTTTCCATTTCTATCCAAACTCCTCTGTTTCTGTTTTTGTTTCTGTGCTAACAGACGAGGAACCAGAGAATTTACCCTTCCCGGACGGTAAAGAGGTCAGTCCAACTGACGGCGACTGGACTTACAGTGCCACAGGTCAGCTTTACTCGTGTTTTTGTGGATTTGCTATTATGTAATGAAGCATTATGCAGGATCACAGTGTTCAACAGGCCTGCAGGCATTAATAGACAAAGTTTGTACACTGTATTCCTCTATAATTACAATGTAGTTATAATTATAGACTATTATAAAGCACTTTTTTAGTATAATGTAATTAATGTGCAATTATAGTTGGAATGTAATCATAATGTTTATACCATACACAGTCACTCTGACAGACTGTAATACACTACAGGAAGTGTAGGGGGCGATATGGCTTCTACTGTTTCATTTAAAAAGCCTCTATAATGTTCATATGATCCACATAGTCACTCTGACAGACTGTAATACACTACAGGAAGTGTAGGGGCGATTGCAGCACACACCAATGTGTGGTTGGCTCTTTCATTGTCTTTATATATGGTACAGAGACAGCCTGACTGGGTTGTCCTATCTGGCCTTTTGATGGGTGGATTTATGTACCTCATAAATGCAAATGAAACTGTTTAACTGCACAACTAAAACTGTGATAAAGCACTTTAAAGACTTTGTTTTTGTACAGTACAATTGCTTGGTGTGTTTGGCACAGAGATCAGTAGGACAGCGGGGAAAGTCAACAAGCAGTAGTTTCATGTGTCCTAACATGAGAAGCATTATTATCCCTTAAATGCATACCATGTGTCGCTTACAAGCCATGGCCTCGGTTCCTCCCTCTACCTCCTACATGTCAAATGCAAGGCCTGTGGGCCAGATCCTGTCCAGCCCCAGCACTGTTTTGATTTTCTATTTTTATTAGCCCAATTCACAGTGCCCTGCACTACAATCTCCAGCATGCACTGCATCGTGATGTACGCACCCACCCCCTCCCGTCTGCAGTACACCAGTCACATCACCAAACATATTAGCTGTGTTTCAGCTGCAGCTCAACCAACATAAACGCTCAGCAGCTCAGAAACTGATCGCAAGAATTAATGAACTTGCAGCAAAGTAAAGACGGCAGGTGTCTAATTCAAGTAAATAGGTAGATTTAAAAGACCTTTTTCTAATATTTAAACTATTCACGTAATATTTTAAGGATTACTACAAAGGCATGTTTTGCTGTTGGTGTTTGGTGTGTTCTGAATAAACAGTGGCAAGTTGTACATTGGCCGACAAAACACTGTTGAGCATGATTATAAACATGTTTCAAACACAGAAAACTTTATCAAAATTAGTAACAATGCAACGGATATGAACCACAACACAACGGGAATGAGCCACAACGCAACGGGAATGAGCCACAACACAACGGGAATGAGCCACAACGCAACGGGAATGAGCCACAACACAACGGATATGAGCCACAACACAACGGGAATGAGCCACAACACAACGGATATGAGCCACGACACAACGGGAATGAGCCACAACACAACGGATATGAGCCACAACACAACGGGATTGAGCCACAATGCAACGGAAATGAGCCACAACACAACGGATATGAGCCACAACGCAACGGGAATGAGCCACAACACAACGGATATGAGCCACAACGCAACGGATATGAGCCACAACGCAACGGGAATGAGCGACAACACAACGGATATGAGCCACAACACAACGGATATGAGCCACAACGCAACGGGAATGAGCCACAACACAACGGATATGAGCCACAACACAACGGGAATGAGTCACAACACAACGGGAATGAGCGACAACGCAACGGATATGAGCCACAACACAACGGGAATGAGCCACAACGCAACGGATATGAGCCACAACACAACGGGAATGAGCCACAACGCAACGGAAATGAGCCACAACACAACGGGAATGAGCCACAACACAACAGAAATGAGTCACAACACAACAGAAATGAGTCACAACACAACGGGAATGAGCCACAACACAACGGGAATGAGTAACAACGCAACGGGAATGAACCACAACACAACGGGAATGAGCCACAACACAACCGAAATGAGTCACAACGCAACGGGAATAAACCACAACGCAATGGAAATGAGTCACAATGCAACGGGAATGAACCACAACACAACGGAAATGAGCCACAACACAACGGGAATGAACCACAACGCAACGGAAATGAGTCACAACGCAACCGAAATGAGCCACAACGCAACGGAAATGAGTAACAACGCAACGGAAATGAGCCACAACGCAACGGATATGAGCCACAACGCAACAGAAATGAGCCACAACGCAATGGAAATGAGTCACAACACAACGGGAATGAGTCACAACGCAACTGAAATGAGTCACAACACAACGGGAATGAGCCACAACACAACGGGAATGAGCCACAACACAACTGAAATGAGTCACAACGCCATGGAAATGAGTCACAATGCAACGGGAATGAGCCACAACACAACCGAAATGAGTCACAACGCAACGGGAATGAACCACAACGCAATGGAAATGAGTCACAATGCAACGGGAATGAACCACAACACAACGGAAATGAGCCACAACACAACGGGAATGAACCACAACACAACGGAAATGAGTCACAACGCAACGGAAATGAGCCACAACGCAACGGATATGAGCCACAACGCAACAGAAATGAGCCACAACGCAATGGAAATGAGTCACAACACAACGGGAATGAGCCACAACACAACCGAAATGAGTCACAACGCAACGGGAATGAACCACAACACAACGGGAATGAGCCACAACACAACTGAAATGAGTCACAACGCCATGGAAATGAGTCACAATGCAACGGGAATGAGCCACAACACAACCGAAATGAGTCACAACGCAACGGGAATGAACCACAACGCAATGGAAATGAGTCACAACGCAACGGGAATGAACCACAACGCAACGGAAATGAGCCACAACACAACGGGAATGAACCACAACGCAACGGAAATGAGTCACAACGCAACGGGAATGAGCCACAACACAACGGATATGAGCCACAACGCAACGGGATTGAGCCACAACGCAACGGAAATGAGCCACAACACAACGGGAATGAGCCACAACACAACAGAAATGAGTCACAACACAACAGAAATGAGTCACACCACAACGGGAATGAGCCACAACACAACGGGAATGAGTAACAACACAACGGGAATGAGCCACAACACAACGGGAATGAGCCACAACGCAACGGGAATGAACCACAACACAATGGGAATGAGCCACAACGCAACGGGAATGAGTAACAACGCAACGGAAATGAGTCACAACGCAACGGAAATGAGCCACAACGCAACGGAAATGAGTCACAACGCAATGGAAATGAGCCACAACACAACAGAAATGAGCCACAACGCAACGGGAATGAGTAACAACGCAACGGAAATGAGTCACAACGCAACAGAAATGAGCCACAGTGCAACGGAAATGAGTCACAGTGCAACGGGAATGAGCCACAACACAACGGGAATGAGTCACAACGCAATGGAAATGAGCCACAACACAACAGAAATGAGCCACAACGCAACGGGAATGAGTCACAACGCAACGGAAATGAGTCACAACGCAATGGAAATGAGCCACAACACAACGGAAATGAGCCACAACGCAACGGAAATGAGTCACAACGCAACAGAAATGAGCCACAACGCAACGGAAATGAGCCACAACACAACGGAAATGAGTCACAACGCAACGGAAATGAGCCACAGTGCAACGGAAATGAGTCACAATGCAACGGGAATGAGCCACAACACAACGGGAATGAACCACAACACAACGGGAATGAGTCACAACACAATGGGAATGAACCACAACACAACGGGAATGAGCCACAACGCAACGGAAATGAGTCACAACGCAACGGAAATGAGCCACAACGCAACGGGAATGAGCCACAACACAACGGAAATGAACCACAACACAACGGGAATGAGCCACAACACAACTGAAATGAGTCACAACGCCATGGAAATGAGTCACAATGCAACGGGAATGAGCCACAACGCAACGGAAATGAGTCACAACGCAACGGGAATGAACCACAACGCAATGGAAATGAGTCACAATGCAACGGGAATGAACCACAACGCAACGGAAATGAGCCACAACACAACGGGAATGAACCACAACGCAACGGAAATGAGCCACAACGCAACGGAAATGAGCCACAACGCAATGGAAATGAGCCACAACACAACGGAAATGAGTCACAACGCAATGGAAATGAGCCACAACGCAACGGAAATGAGCCACAGTGCAACGGAAATGAGTCACAATGCAACGGGAATGAGCCACAACACAACGGGAATGAGCCACAACACAACGGAAATGAGTCACAACGCAATGGAAATGAGCCACAACACAACGGAAATGAGTCACAACGCAATGGAAATGAGCCACAACGCAACGGAAATGAGTCACAACGCAACGGAAATGAGCCACAACGCAACGGGAATGAGCCACAACACAACGGGAATGAACCACAACACAACGGGAATGAGCCACAACACAACTGAAATGAGTCACAACGCCATGGAAATGAGTCACAATGCAACGGGAATGAGCGACAACACAACCGAAATGAGTCACAACGCAACGGGAATGAACCACAACGCAATGGAAATGAGTCACAATGCAACGGGAATGAACCACAACACAACGGAAATGAGTCACAACACAACGGAAATGAGCCACAACGCAACGGAAATGAGTAACAACGCAACGGAAATGAGCCACAACGCAACGGATATGAGCCACAACGCAACGGAAATGAGCCACAACGCAATGGAAATGAGTCACAACACAACGGGAATGAGCCACAACACAACCGAAATGAGTCACAACGCAACGGGAATGAACCACAACGCAATGGAAATGAGTCACAATGCAACGGGAATGAACCACAACACAACGGAAATGAGCCACAACACAACGGAAATGAGCCACAACGCAATGGAAATGAGTCACAACGCAACGGAAATGAGTCACAACGCAACTGAAATGAGCCACAACACAACGGGAATGAACCACAACACAACGGGAATGAGCCACAACGCAATGGAAATGAGTCACAACGCAACGGAAATGAGCCAAAACGCAACGGAAATGAGCCACAACGCAACGGAAATGAGTCACAACGCAACTGAAATGAGTCACAACGCAACTGAAATGAGTCACAACGCAACGGGAATGAACCACAACACAACAGGGAATGAGCCACAACACAACACAAATGTTTGCGGAAGACTCAAAGGGGATGAAATATCTATGATGGAAAATCACTGACAGAAGTAGATCAGACCACAGACACTCAGACACTCACATCCCGAGTTCATGGCTAACCTTTGCTCTCTGACGTATCGTAGCTGTGCTGTGGTTGCTAATCTGGTGTTACTAGTTAAACCTTTACAGTTACACTGTACAGCTAATTCCCGTTAGGATACAGTGATGTCAGTAATCTACTCAAATAAAAGTTACTTACTTTTAAACTTACTTTTACTGGTGAATGTTTGTGCTGCATAGAATTTAAAACTCTGAATGGCTCCGTCGTCTCTGAGTGCCCCCTGGAAACATCTCCGCTGTGTCATTTTGATTACAGTGTTTTCTGTGTTTGCAGCTCGTTTCTATTTGCAGTTTGTTGGGTCTTCTTAGCCACCATAAAGTTTGGATTATAGCAAACTGCTATTTGAAGTGTTCTCTGGGCCACAGATTTGTTGAGATTTTTTAATGTGGCCCTTTTAGTGGTTGAGTTTGACATCCTTGCTCGACCTCATTCATTTTTTTCAGACAAAATATTAAAATAGAACAAAACATTTCATGGTTTTATCTTGTTAATGTCAATTAAATGTTTTTGGGTCATTTTCATGTGGACTTCAGGTGGATACATTTTTAAAAAAATACATTTCTTTCATCCCAAAACTAAATAATCTCAATATGTCCATTAACATCTCCTATTATTATATATGCAAAAAGGAGAGTTTCATTCCAAACATGTTTTACAGTCACTGGTGTTGTATGAATATGGTGTAACACCAGTGACGGTGACTCCAGTGACATTCTGGTTAAAACCGAGGATTCTATTAATTGGCCGATTCATTGTTGGTCAGGTGACCTTGTGTATTCAGTAATAAAATGATAATATGGCATTATTTTAACAAAATTTTAATTACCCAGCCTTTAAAGCACAAAACACCAGTGACACATAGAAGTTATGAGCTGCCTGATAAACAAAACTATTAATAAATTAATGATGTGACTCGCCTTCTCATGCCTTGAGATGCTTCCTCTTTGATGAGCCTCAACCCAAAGAAGCAGTTTAATAGAGCTGAAAATACTGTGTTCAAATGTAAAATAAGAGTCCTGATAACACCAGCGACCACAATCCCTTTTTTAAAATACATAATTCTTAAATGTAGTATAATGATAATGATGTAAAAAGTAAACATGAATCTGTTTTATACAAATTTCTAAGTTGAACCTCTTAAAATATTGTTTTATAATAAAAATAGTTTCTCAGATGTTGAAATTTGTTTTGTGAGGAGCTGTTTCACAGATGCAGAGTGACTATGAAACAGGATAAAAAGAAAGAAAAAGAAAAGAGAAAAATCAGAGAATCATAAGAGAAAAGTATTATTTGATCTTAGATTGACTGTATAAATGTACATACTGACTTTTGCAGCTGTGCCTGATATTTTAAGCATCTTTTTAAGCCCTGAAACTTGTGTGACATGGTTTCCCCTCCAAATGGAGAATGAACCCCTTTACAGTTTTATGCTAGCATGGCAGCTGGCAGAGTTTTTATTAGATATGAGTTGTGGGCTGCGAGGTATTTGGGAGAAACAGCCCCACATTTAAGGGTTAATTTCTTCTCTTCTTATATACACAGATTTGAAAATGAGAAGGAAATTGTAACTCTGGTCTGTAACTCTTACTCTCCTTTCATTACAGATGAACCCACAATCCCTCCTTATGACAAGTGGTACGAGGAGTATGAATACGGACCAGGTATACAAACCTGTTTTATACTTACTGTACAACACAGACTCGCTCTGACCCCTCTGAACTCTACAGGTTTTTACAGGGCAGCCAGTGCAACGGCGTAAATAAAAGCATGACAGTTCCGTCCTTTTTCTCTCCACCCGAATTAGGGTACAGACAGCGTGGCCTGTCATTTAACTTCGCCTTTTACTCTGAAGTAAACATCAGGTGGAGCCAGACGTCATAATCTTCACTCTGAGAGAGAGAGAAAGAGATGAAACGACGGACGAAACAGAACATCAAAAGAAACAGAAAGAGTTTCCCGTCGGAGGAATGTCTTTTGTCTTTTGCTTTGGTCATGGTGGTCTAGACTATAGACGCTGTCGAAGGTTTGGATAGTGACAGAGTGAAATCGGTCAGTTTTAATGAGTCAGAAACAGAACAAGACCTTTTGTCTCAGTTGATATTTTAAGCTTTTGAACACATCTTAAAATTTTATAGAAATATTTTCAACCTAATATTTACCTGCCTCATCTGTAGAGTACGGCTGATTACCATGGGACAACAGTTTTAGGGCAGCTGCTGCGTTCTGTGAATAAATACTTTAACCCCTTAAATGTCCAGGACCACCAGCAGGCCCAAAGTTTTATTACACACTTCTATAACCTAAGAATAGCTCTGCCAGTTTGCACTGAAGTCCCTGTAGTTACTGAATAATAAGACTTATTATGTAATAAGCCTGGATTTTAAGGGGTAAAAATGCCATTCCAGGGAACGTCTTACCAAAACTGTTCTTCTAAAGTTTCATCCGGCTTCACAAAACTGAAGCAACACAGTAAAAAGGGATTTTCTGATACTGGCTACTGTCACTTAAAGGTGCAATGTGTAAGATTTAGTTGAGATCTAGTGGTGATGTTGCAGATTGCAACCAACCGAATCCCCCTCCCTCACTCCTCCCTTTCCAAGCGTGTAGTAGAACCTACAGTGGCCGTCGGGTTTTCTGTCAACGCCTGTCCCGATTTTATTTTGCTTATTTGTGTTTTCGCATCTTTGATGGCGAGAATTCACCCTGTCTCGCTTTTTCTGGTGCTAAATAATAAGTTTGATCCTCCAATTGTCAAACTTCTCATGACACAAAGTGGTCAGCAGCACCGACAGCAACCATAGATTCTACTTTTTTCTACATCTTCCAACCGGAGCTACAGCACACCAAATTCAAGCTGCTGCTTTAATGTAAAAATGAGAAAGGCGCCCTCTAGAGCCTCTAGAGTGTTTGGTTTATTTATTCTAGTCTACTGTAGAAACACGGCGGCACAACATGGCTCCTTCACTCCTTATGTAGATATACAGGGCTCATTCTAAGCTAACCAAAACACAATGATTCATAGTAAGAGGTGATTATACACTAAGGAACACATGGTTTTGTTTACTATATTCCATTTCTGCTTATAGATCCCCTTAAATTTTACACACTGCACCTTTAAAGCTTGTCCTGTGCAGGAGATCAGGCAGAACCTGTGGAAACTTCGCCCACACTGCTGCTAAGGAGTTACCACAGATGATATCTTCTGGAAAACTTGTGTCATCTCTGAAAGAATGAATTATACAGATATACAGCTTTGACAGAGTTTATAAAAAAAGATATATTTTAATACCTGCAGCACTTTAACGTTTACTGATGAAATTCAGCAACTGCCCAAAGACTTCATTATGAGTGAGATGTGATTCAGTGAGTTTTCTGTTCTTTTTCTAAATAATGTGTTGAAATTATTGTCTGGTTCACTTGGCCATGTGTTATAGATGCGGCAGGCAGAAAGAGATTAGGTTGAGCGGAAATGAACAGAATAATTCCATAGTTCTGGTGGGATAATGTGAAACACAAAAGCCTGAATCCATGTATAAATAAGCATGAAGCCAAGCCAAACTGGACAGGATGGAGTTCCAGGAAAAGTGTGATAACAGTACGCACAATTTTCACGTTTAGCATATGTTTAGAAGGATAAACTATGAGAGACGATGCAATTTTAGACATGTTTGAATGAAGATCAAAACTACACCAACGACACAGAGTCCAGCACAAACAGTCTGTTCTGATTACGTGCTCTGACGTCAAAATGACAGCTTTGTCTTCACTACACAAAGAAGTGGCATCTTGTCAAGTGGCGTCGAACTCGAAGACAACAGCACCAGGGAAAAAGAAATAACTTTAACTCATTAACATGGTTTAGATTGATATCCTGTCCTGATCGCCATTAATCTTCCAAATGTGTGCACATCACAAATGATAATATCAGCTTTTATTGCTGTTTTTATGGTTCTGGATTTGGGCGTCAGAGCAGTAAAATTCTCATATTTTTGGTTTTCTCCAGAGAAGAGACTGGAAGAAGAAGAGGAGGAGAGAGAGAGGGCGAGAAAAAGGCAGGAGGAGAGAGGTACGGTACTAAGATCCACGGAGAGCTCTAACATCTCTCTGCCACGCTGTCAAATTAGTAAAGCTCAGGCCTGAGCATGCTGTGATTGTATGAGCCACAATAACAGTGTAGCACAGAGAGTGATTATTACAGGCGTAAATCAGACAACATGAGGCGAAATCTAACAATTAAGATAAGAAATTATGCCTATATTTTGGGTATAAGATGCAATTTGTTTTTGTCTTTAAGTGGAACTGGCAGGAGGGCTGGTTGTAAAGTTTATGGTTGCTTTTAAGTCCACAACACGCCTATTTGTCACTGTGTGCGCAAGATGACACACCCAACAAGCAAGCTTGCTGTTACCACTTCCACTCAGCCGCTCCAGCACAAAGACATAGTTTTGGTTTTGGAAGGTGGGGGGTGCTGTGAAATTAGAGCTAACGATGGCTAACAAGGTCAAACGTCTAGTAAACTGTAACGTAATTAAAGCTGGTGCTGACAGAGTGGAATACACACACACACACACATTATCTAGGCTGCTTATCCTCCTGGGTCACGGTGGGGGCTGGAGTCTATCCCAGCGCTCATTGGGCGGAAGGCAGGAAGCGTCCTGGACAGGCTGCCAGTCCATCACAGGATGGACATTAGGGGTGGGAATCTCTTGGCATCTCACGATGGAGCTGCAGCTTTACTCAGAAACGATAACCCTGTGTCGCCAGCTGTGTAAGATGTTTCAGACTCTGTAGTAGGTAAGATTTGTTTGAATTCATCTCTCAAAAAGAATAATAGACTAATTCATTCTGTCTTTCAGTCAGATGTTGTATCAGTTCCTCATGTAACATTTTACTGGAATGGGGTTTCTTGATAATGTGTGCTTTGTTTTTTGTTGGCTTCTGCCACAAAAACAAACAAACAAACAAACAAACAAAAATGAAAATAGGTAGCATAAACATGGAAGTGAGTTTAGCCCTATAGTAACCATGGAAATATGTGCAACATAACCATAAAAATGAGTGTAGTGTAATAATGGAAATGAGTGTAGTGCATCCATGGAAACAAGTGTAGTGTAACCATGGAAATGAGTGTAGCGTAACCATAGAAATGAGGGTAGTGTAACAATGGAAATGGGAGTAGTGTAACCATAGCATTCGCATTCATAAGCAGCGCAGTTGGTTTCCTGGATCGTTAAACCTGCAACGAGAGACTGTCAAACACTAAAAAGTTGCAAAGATGAAGTCGCTTCTCTTTCAAATTTTCCCGTTCCACCTTAAATGGTGCCACATTTATATTCTGGCGTCTCAGGCAGAATTTAAGGTGGAATGGAAAAAAATTCGAACAAGAAGCTGGAGAATAAGAAGTGACTTCAGCCTCGTAAAACAGTCGAACGTTGAGAGACATTTTACAAGAAACTCTTCTACTTTTGAGGAAAAGTTTCCTGGCGGAGATGGGAGGAAAGTAAATCAGTGTTTTCGTTTATATTTTTAACCTATACTAGGACATCATCACATACTGAGACATACTGGACATGAAATGTTGCGGCTCCCAAGGTGGTTTGGCTTTTGTTGAAAGGACAAAATGGCTCTTCTTGTCATTTGTGTTGTGACTCCTGACCTAACCTGGCTTTAATGCAGAGGGAGCCGGTTGGATTTCTCACTCATCCAGTTGTGTTTTTGTTATGTGCCGCCACAGACTGTCCGGGCGCTGCACTTACCCACTTCCAAGTTCCGTCTTTTGCGTTATAAATTAAAATTTAGAAAATCGATTTTTGACATTTGTGAGTTGATTCAGAATCATCCACGTCCGCATTGTGATGCGTCTGAGAATCGATTTTTCCCCCACCCCTGATGCACATATTGGTGGCCTAGACAATAAGCCTGACTGCATGTCTTTGGACTGTGGGAGGAAACCCACCCAGACTTGAGGAGAACATGCAAACTCCACACAGGAAGGCCTCTGGTCACCCGGTCGGGGCATTGAACCCAGGCCCAGCGCTACCCACTGCAATCAGCCAGTAACAGTGAGTGTCTTCTCACAACATGTCACCAGCATAACCATGAAAAAGGTAAACTTTTTAGATTTTAGTAAACTATACATTTGAAATTAATTGGGTTAAACATTTTAGAAGAATGTTTAAGCCAATCTTTGCCGTATTTTATTCCTTGTTCTATATTCTCACATATTGATGGCCTAGACTTTCTCCTCATATGTAACCATAAAATGAATAAGTTACCCCATTGCTGTCTGCCTTTCATAGGCAAGTCCTTTGGCTTTCACATACAGTTTTCTCTGCACAGATATTTTATTTGGAACATTGGTGACATTCTTCACAGGAACAAGTCGCTGTTCATGCAGAATTGGTTTGATGGGAATATAATTTTGTTTTGTCAGCTGGTAAAGCACCAGGGTCAGTTACTAAATTATCATTTTTAGCTCGTTTTTAATTTCCTGTTAGAATTTGCTGTGGTGTTTCATTCTGTCCCGTCTGGAGCTGCAGCTTTACTCAGAAACGATAACCCTGTGTCGCCAGCTGTGTAAGATGTTTCAGACTCTGTAGTAGGTAAGATTTGTTTGAATTCATCTCTCAAAAAGAATAATAGACTAATTCATTCTGTCTTTCAGTCAGATGTTGTATCAGTTCCTCATGTAACATTTTACTGGAATGGGGTTTCTTGATAATGTGTGCTTTGTTTTTTGTTGGCTTCTGCCACAAAAACAAACAAACAAACAAACAAACAAAAATGAAAATAGGTAGCATAAACATGGAAGTGAGTTTAGCCCTATAGTAACCATGGAAATATGTGCAACATAACCATAAAAATGAGTGTAGTGTAATAATGGAAATGAGTGTAGTGCATCCATGGAAACAAGTGTAATGTAACCATGGAAACGAGAGTAGCGTAACCATGGAAATGAGAGTAGCGTAACCATGGAAACGAGAGTAGCGTAACCATGGAAACGAGAGTAGCGTAACCATGGAAATGAGAGTAGCGTAACCATGGAAATCTGAGTAGCATAACCATGGAAATGAGTGAAGTGTAACCATGGAAACGAGTGTAGCGTAACCATGAAAATGGGAGTAGCATAACCATGGAAACGAGTGTGGCGTAACCATGAAAATGGGAGTAGCATAACCATGGAAATGCATGTAGTTTAACCATGGAAATTAGTGTAGCGTAACTATGGAAACGAGTGGTGTAGCTGTAGTCCATGTTATAACTCTGTTTCCTGGGCAATAAAGACCTGCACTACTTACAGATCTCACACAGTCTCCAGATCACTTCAGGGGACAAAAGCAGATTCTTGAAAAGTTCTTGTCCGTCCCCGGCGTACGTACCAGTATGTCATGTTCTATGAGAGATTAATATTTACTGTATCAGAGATAGAATGCATTTGTTCACCTTCCACATTCTCCATGTTCATGAACTCTGACTGACACCTTTATTAGAAACCCCTACATTATGATTTCACTGACTGTCCACTTTATGAGCTGTAGCTCAGCTCCACAGTTCAGATCAGTGCCCCCCATTCATCACTGGTCAGTTTCTGACAACAAGATTGCTGACCAGACATTATGTGCTTTGACATTCTGCTTTAAATATACTTTTTTATGTTTTTCATTAAATTCATCAAATTCAAATTCATTTAGGATCTTGGATTCAGTCATGATATGCAGGATTTCAGACCCACATTAGCTATTTTAAAAACATCCAAATCTGAACTTTATTTGAACTCTTGTTCTTTTCCTTCATAATGTTTCGAAATTGTCGTCTGTTTCAGTCGTATGGTACAGATACAGCAGAGAGAGATTAGGTTGAACAGACTGGAATATTCCTTTCAATTTTAAGATTTAGGATAAAGTTATTTCATAATTCCAGCAGGATAATGTGAAACACCCTGATACATGTATAAATAAGAATCAAGCCAAGCTGAACAGAACTCAGATTGGCCCTTATGACTGTAAACAGGCCTGGATCTGTGAGAGTCTGATTATAGTGTTTATTATTCTTAGCGCCCCTTTACAATGATGCGTTAAGGAAGACTGAATGGAGACATGCACCAAGTATTACACACACACACACACACACACACACACACACACACACACAGGAAAGCGTCTGTGATGGGAGGCAGAAAGAGCAGGGCAAAGTTTAAGAGCAGGAATGTGAAATGGGGAATGTATGCATCCGACTTGAACTGCAGCTGAGAGGAGAGAGAGAGAGAGAGAGAGAGAGAGAGAAAGAGACACAGAGTGTAAACTAGAGACAGAGAGAGATAGAAAAATGGGAGAAAGAGACTCATAGGCAAGAAAAAAAATATCTTCTTAACGTTTCTGTAGTTTCTCTTGGACAAAAGTGAGATCAGATGGAGAGACAAAGGAGACTTTAGCTCGAGTCTCTCCTGCTGTTTAGACGTTCCTCCTGAGAAAAAGAGCCCAGTCATCTCACATTTGTCTCCTCTTTAAACTTTGAGATCTCAGTAAAGTCACACATGCACAGATTTGCTAAGATATGCTAATAATCCTGCTATTACCTACAGAATAAACTGGGGCTGGGCAGTATGACAACATATATCGTTATTGTGATAAATTAGGTCACGATACAACACAGTATGCTTTGAACATATCTTGCATAGTGTCAGTAATTGTAGACACTGACGGACTGCATGTTTCATTATAAAGAGAGCAAAATTAGTCCCGTTTAACTGGATTTAGTGCCAAATATTGAATAAAAATAATTGTTTTTGAAACTATTTTTAAAAATATAGCACTACTGCTTCTTTTTTCCTCTGTTTTAACTGGTCATATGTCTGAAAAAATAAATATTGTGATATGTCGTCAATCATGAAAGTATCGCAATATTCAATTTTTTCCATATCGCCCACCTCTACAATAAACCGAATGTTGTTGGGTTGTTTATTTAGAAACATGGGCGCTGAATGATGGCAGCTGAAGCCCTGATTACCCATTCATGAGCATCAACTCCAGAACTTCAACGAAAACACATTATTAGAAACATTAGCTTGTGCTCAAAACACTTTTAGGATGAAAGAGTGGCTCATTACATCACTCCCCACACGGGCACAAACCGCAGTAATGCTATCACCATCACTGAGCTGCAGTTGGCTGTGTCCGAATCTGCTATGAGATGCAGAACGATGGTTTTTCAAACTCAAAACAATAATATTCATCTGCAGCTAAACTACCATCTCTTATTTATCTCTCCTCTATTTTATAACTCCTTTTTGTCTAATGCTATCTCTCCTAAGGAATTTTAGGAGAGAGAGAGAGAGAGAGGGGAGAGAGAGGGAGAGAGAGAGAGAGAGAAAGTGTATGTGAATTAGAAAATGTGTTTTTGGTCTAAGAACACATGGAACCACAAAATAAACCACTGAAGAAACAACCAGAAAGATTTTTTCTAGTTGGAGAAAAAAGATGGCGGGAAAGAGTTGGGAATGAAGGGAGGAACTGAAGAAAAAGCTGGGGAAGTGCTGTAGCTGTGGTTTAGGCTGAGGCTGATACTGCCACGTGTCTGTATGTCTGCTGAAAGGGTAGAGTTGGGGGTAGAGGAGGATTTTGTAACTGTAGAGTCACTCAGGAGTTCTCAGCAATGTAAAGCCCTGCAGGACTGATGAACAAGACCAGATGTGACTGATCTATGTTCCATGATTGCACACGAGAAAGGCATAGTGGTCAAATAGTTTAATCCTGTAATATATATGCTGTACACCCACTAGAAAACCACTGGAATTTGCACATACTAGGACCAGGACCCCCATGGACCCTCACAGAGTAGGTACTATTTGGGTGGTGGATCATTCTCAGCACTGCAGTAACACTGACGTGGTGGTGGTGTGTTAGTGTGTGTTGTACTGGTCTGAGTGGATCAGACACAGCAGTGCTGCTAGAGTTTTAAACACTGTGTCCACTCACTGTCCACTCTATTAGACACTCCTACCTTGTCAGTCCACCTTGTAGATGTAAAGTCAGAGACGATAGCTCATCTGCTGCTGCACAGTTTGTGTTGGTCATCCTCTAGTCCTTCATCAGTGGTCACAGGACGCTGCCCACAGGACGCTGTTGGCTGGATGTTTTTGGTTGGTGGACTATTCTCAGTCCAGCAGTGACACTGAGGTGTTTAAAAACTCCAGCAGCACTGCTGTGTCTGATCCACTCAGACCAGCACAATACACACTAACACACCACCACCACGTCAGTGTTACTGCAGTGCTGAGAATGATCCACCACCCAAATAGTACCTGCTCTGTGAAGGTCCATGGGGGTCCCGACCACTGAAGAACAGGGTAAAAAGTATCAGAGAAACAGATGGACTACAGTCTGTAACTGTAGAACTACAAAGTGCACCTATATAGTAAGTGGAGCTGATAAAATGGACAATGAGCGTAGAAACAAGGAGGTGGTCAGAATGTTATGGCTGATCGGTGTATGCTGGGTTTACTGGTCATCAGGTATGCTGGTTTTCCTAGCAGGACAGTCACAACTACAGAATTAACACAGCAGTTTCATAGTAAATACTGAGTCTGCAGTTTAAACACAATTTCTATACATTTCTATATCTCTTCTGCATCTTCATAAACATATAACTGCAGGTTTTCGAACGTTCACTTATGATCGTTGTAATATTTCCTGAGCACAGATCTGTATTAAATTACTTCATTTCTGGATCGAGGAGTCGAGACTCCAGATCTAGCATTCCTGGGGGCCTCTGCAAGCTTTGCTGTGCTTGGCAAGAGTCTCACAACCCGTAGACAACTGACGAATATCAGAACGACACGTGTTCCTAGGAAATGTGGCAACCGAGCCAGAGCTGGACAACACCAGTGACCGATTATCAGGACAACAGTGAATCTGCACTTGATGTTTTGAGCTGTTGGGGTGAAGTACGTGATGGTAATTATATTTCAATCCTGACCTTCTTTTCAGAGAGGGAGCAGAGGAGGCTGGAGGAAGAGGAGGAGAGAGACAGAAGGATTAACAGACCTCCCCCACGGGTCTACAAAGAGCCAAAGAGTGAGTAGAGGTCATCTCTTCTCGGCCCATTCGGAGCTGAAGTGTGACGTTAGGCCCAAAGCTGGATATCTATCCAAAGCTGGATTATCACATGTACTCAGTTTCACCCTAAACCGAAATGTAGTTATACAGTCATTACGTGTTTTGGGTCCAGAGTTTTGCGCTGGAGTTATGAAGCTAACAAGTGGTAGAAGAATGAAAATTTGGACTAAAGTAGAGACAAAATTCAGGCCTCAAGGTGGCAGCAACTTTGAAAGCTTCTTTACAGTTTGTAAAGAATGAATGTCATGTTTGCAAGCATCTATAAACACATTTATAACATGTTATAATGTATTCATAAGGCATTATAAACATGGTTATAAATATTTGTAAAAATGAATTACACTTTATAGCCATGTGTGTTATACATTATGAATTTTTAATATAATGCATTGTAAGTAGTGTTAATAACATGTTATACTGTCAGTGCCAAAGAGGTCAGTCCCAGCTTGGAGAGTGTAAAGTAAAGATAAATACAAAGTTTATTTACACCCTGAGATTTCCAGTGTTTCTCAGTGCTGGTGCTGTTAAAGCTGCATCTTCAGTCCTGAATATTCAGATGCTCCAAACTGGCTGTCCAGCCTAGAATTATTACTACAGTGAGCTTTTCTTACCCAGCGCTCTCACTTTAAATGTTATGTTACATCACAGCAAACCAAGTACCCATCAGCCCTTTCCTGAACCCCCTCTGACATCACACTGAGCGTGAAGTCACTGTGGAGTGAAGGTCTGGAGAGAGAGAGGCGAGATAGTAGAGCGCTGTCATTGTAATTTGTTCCATCACTGGTTCTAACGTCAAGTGCTAGAACCCTTCAGTCTGTAACATCCCTACACTACAGTACAGTATTGCTAATTTCTGCTAGCGTTCTATTGGATATGCAGTGTTAAGTTAGCTCCAAGCTAACGGTGGTGTACATTACCTTTCCCACATTGGGTAAAACACTGATGGCAGCTCTAGTTTAAACTCTGACATTTGAAGCCTGTAATGTGCTTTACTGTGATGTTTTAGTGTTTCAGTAAATCCTTCAGTAAATACTTCAACTTGAAGCTTCACTCTGAACACTGGAGGAGGCTTTAGTACAGTACGCTTCACTTTACTTAGAGCGGACAAATACGACTTATGAGCTCTAGTAATTTATGAACAGTACTACAATTCATAATGCATAATAAGTATGGCTATAACAAGTAATGCATTTTTAGAAATATTTATAGCCATGTTTATGATGCCTTAAGAATTAATTATAACATATGACTGTGTTTATAGATGCTTACAAACGTGACATTCATAGAAAGTGTCACCACAGGGTTTTACCTTTACTAATTAACTACTAAAGGTGTAACAATTTCAGTACAGTATTGAAAAAAAAGCTTAAGGTTTAAGTTAGAAGTTTACATTTATGGCATTTGGCAGATGCTCTCATCCAGAGCGACTTACAATTTTATCATTTTACACAGGTAGGTGAAGGTAGTGTTAGGAGTCTTGCCTAAGGACTCTTACTGGTATAGTGTAGGGTGTTTACCCAGGCAGGGAATTGAACCCCAGTCTACAGTGTAGAAGGCAGAGATGTTACCCACTATGCTATACTAACCACTAACCACAGTGTAAAGGGCCCATATCATGTCAAACCATATTTGACCCACTTTTTCGAAAGAATTTGATGTCGTAAGTAAACACTGGCCCTCATTTGCCAACATCTTCCTAAGTTTGTTCGTGTGTTCTTGAGAAAGATCCTAAGAAAAGGTCTGCGTCAGATTCACGACGTGTTCTTAAAGCGCAGAACTGTTACCACCTTTGTGCTCTTGAGTGTGTAGATTCTGTTCTTAAGAACAAATCCCACCTAAGAGAACACTGGTGAGTCAGAGTCTTCGTAAAAAACTCTTTTTTTCTGCCAAAAATCAGATTTCATGTGGTATTTTGCTGTCCAGACTATCAAAAATTAGTCTGGAAACAATCTGGATCTGCCAAAAATCAGATTTGGGCTGGGAGTCTGAACAAAGCCTTAAAGACATGGTAACAAAAACAGCCTGTTTGAGTCTAAGGCTAAAGAAAGGGCACTTTTACATGACGAATCATCCATTAGTTATCATGTAAAAGTGAATTATTTTTTGGTACATAAAACCATAAAAAATGTAAAAGTGGACATCAGGGAGAAAAAATAAGATACAAGAACAATGTAAGTTATGGGCCCTTAAAATAGTAGTTTTGTGGGAGCCACTGTCAGGGGTCCAAACAAGGCATCTGGGTGTGTCTTAGTAAAATATATGGAGAGAGGGCGGGGCTTATGCTATAGATACACACTCAGAATGACTGGACCTTTTTTCTGAGTTTATTTTAGGGGTATATTTTTTAGCTTTGTAGCTCCAGTGCAAAACTACACTCAAAAAGCTGGTGCTTCAAGGGTTCTTAGTAAAGAAAATGGTTCTAAATTGAACCATGAACACTCAAAGAACCGTTTGCATGGTTAGTGTTCTTGGCATCATGAAAGCGTTCTTTGGATTGATGGAGAATGTGTTGTATATGGTACTCCATAGAACCTTTTTGAAAAATGTTCTACAAAGCACTGCTATTGTTATGATACAAACCTATAACCATACAAGAACGCTTTTTGGTGTAGAACCCTTTTTTGAAAGGCTCCATCTGTAGCACTTTCTCTATCAGTCTGAAGAACCCTTTCACCATGCAAAGAACCCTTTCATCATGCAAAGTATTCATGGTTCTATGTAGAACCATTTTCTTTACTTAAGAACCCTTGAAAAATGAAAGTGCTATTGATGGTTCTGTGTAGCACCCAAAAGTGTTCTGCTATTGTTACAAGCTTAACACCCTAACATAAAAGAACCCTTTTGGGTGCTGTATAGAACCCTTTCTCCCTCAGCACATTCTCCCTCAGTCTGAAGGACCATTTCATGATGCAAAGAACCCTTTAATCATGCAAAGTACTTATGGTTCTATGTAGAACAATTTTCTTTACTAAAGAACCCTCGGTAAAAACAAATTTTTATGTGCATGAATGTACTATAGATGGTTCTTTATAGCGCCCAAAAGTGTTCTGCTGTAGTTACAAGGTTAACACCATAACATAAAAGAACCCTTGTGGGTGCTATATAGAACCCTTTTCAAAAATGTCTATATAAAACTATTTACAGCACATTCTCCATCAATTTGAAGAACATTTTCAAGATGCAAAGAACCTTTAATCATACAAAGCGTTCTTTGAGTGGTCATGATTCTATATAGAACCATTTTCTTTACTAAAGAACCCTTGAAGCACCCTCTCTTTTAAGAGTGTAATGAAGTGAAACGTCTCAGTTGATCAGCAGGGTTTGTGGTAAGGAGGGAACCTGTGAAATTGAGTTTGTCCACCAAACTACACATCTGTTCAGGTATGTCTCTTGACGTAAAGGGTCTGGGCTTGTTTTTGAGCCCGGTGCCGAGCGTTATGTCATTTGTAGGCCACAGCAAGCTTGTGTCAGAACCTAGAAGTAATGTGATACAAAAGCTCCAGTCGTCTGGCTGTTGTTTCTGTCCCGAAATGGAGCGATCCGTCATCTCCCTCTAGCAGAACCTTGGAAGCCCTGTTAAACTAAGCTTTCTTCCAAGCCAAGTCACACTCTCCAAATCCCCAACCAGACCCGGCGTCATCGCACCTGAGACACGTTCCAGAGAGCAGGTTCCCAACAAAGCAGCTGCGAGGTCATGCAAACTGCCCATTACTGACCGTGTCTCTGTACAAGTGAGGATTTCGTTCGTTTTGAGTGATTGATTCAGACGATATCCGGCCAAATCCGTGTCCCAATTCCACAGCTGTTTCTTTTCAAAGGGAACTTTGAAACATTCCAGGACCAGATGTATAAAAATGGTTTCATTCCGAATCAAAACAGCGCACAGCAAACCCTCCAAGCCACAGGTCACGCATGTGCTCATCACGGCAAACGCTCAGAATGGGGAATATGGGGATTCTGTTGTTGCGCTGCTGTTGACAGACACGTGAATTAGGCTGTTTACCCTTCTTGTCAGGACCCCCTTCGTCCATTTCTTTGACCACACATTTTGAGTAAACACCCTGTGATATGCTGATTAACCCCTAAAACCCCAGACTTATTAAACACTGAGGCTTATTATTCACTACAGGGACTTCAGTGCAAACTGATTGAGTTATTCTTAGGTTGTAGAAGTGTGTAATTAAACTTTGGCCCTGGCCATAATGAATTCACTTTTTATTTACGTTTGGTAATGACAGGATTAAGCCTACACGTCTGATGCCTGACAACATTTTATGATTAGCATGATAAATTACATCACAGTATGCTTTTCTGGGGATATTTGTAACGCAGAGTGAGCAGGAAACGAAGCAAGCTGCATATCGCTGCTGTCGGAAGAAAACCTCGTATCTCCATTTTCAGTTTCATGATGAATGGACCAAAAGAAACAACCCAAAAATGCCTGGGAAAAAAGTCTGGTTCCATTGACTGACATTAAAAGTAAAGTAGGTGTTTCCTTCTCCAGTAAAGTCACCATTTCGGAGATACGAGAGTTTTCTTCCGACAGCAGCGACATGCATGTCTTTTTTATTAGAATCAATAGAAAAATGAAGGGACCAGGAACACTAAACAAACAGGAAAAATGATAAAACACAGAAAGAGCATGATACTCAGCTAATAAACACTGGACGAATTAACACCACACCAAAGCTACAACTGAACAAAGAGCAAACATGCCAGGACAAGATAATACAGAAACAAGGGGGTGTAAATACTGTGATCACCAACAAGAAACACCTGGGAGTAGTCAGTGGGCGGGGCTATAACACGACACAGGTGTGGGGTGTGACGAAAGGGCGGAGCTGGAAACCAAAACAAAAGCACATGGCAGAGACATGACGGCACATAAGAACACCTTTGTTTGAAATCGCTGCTGTCAGCGTCCCTTTTGTTTGCCCTATTCCCGCCTTTTTTATTTCATTACATTCAGTGAGGTGGTCTTTTCCTGTTTTTGCCTGTGCTTCCTGGGGGCGCAGCAGTAACTCCCCAGGCTGCCCATCATTACATTGGCGGTTTGAGCCTGGCTCTGATCAGCCTCAACTCCAACGTGCGCGATCACCAAACTCGCACTCCATCACTTCAATAAATTCGTTTAAAACCCATTTCTCACGGGTTTTCCTCTCTGCTCTTGGGTCCGCCTCCCTGCTGTCCCGTAACAATAATGTTTATATTGTTAATTTTTGTGAATAGAGTTTATGTGAAGGATAGAGTTTATATTTTTTATCTTAGGTTTTTTTATCTTTAGTATCATATATATTGTTTATACAGTAATAAGTAAGAAACTGTAACCGTTTTAAGTAATTAATTAGGTTATTTATCTCGTTTGTTAATTCTCTTCTTGTTACTTCTTGTACTTTTCTTGAGTGCCTTTTTAAGGATTATCTTATCTTATTTTTGGTGTTCCAACTACTTAAATCTCAGGAAAACTAAATATTGTGATGTATATTGTGTATCGTGATGTCTTTGATTATTCTGATATAAAATGTTTTGTCACCCCGAATTTGTCAAAAATTACAGAAATTTGTCAAAAAGTGTTCTTTCTACGAAATGTCTACACACAACAATAAGTTTTCATCAAATTTAAACCATCCTGAGGTCAAAAATGTGGTTCGGATTGAAGGTTTGAAATCTGTGCTTTCCTCATATCGTTTTTGGCGGTAATTCCTGCAACTTCTGAGGAATAAGTGTGTCGTGATGTAAAATATGCTCCTTCTTTCAGTCTGTCCTCCTCTTGGAATGGAGTCTCATCGTGTGGATGCTGACCAGCTGCTGACATCATCCATGAGTCATCATCGCTACGGGCCTCACAGGGCGCGCCTTAATATTCAGGTAAATAAACAGAGACTACACTGACTTGGGGCCCACCTGACTGTTCCACATTATCCCAGTCTATCCCAGTTCCCAACATATTTGGTTAGAGGAACGATGTGGAACCGCTAGAATGGCCCCCACGGCCTGAGCTGAGAGGCACTGCACTACAGTAATCAGCCTCATTTTATTTGAATGTTTGCTCTTGTCTCTCTGACTGTTACCGAACAGGCGTCTGGAGATGAGGACGATATGAACGGAGGGGCGTGGTGCGGTAACCAGGATGACAAAGTCCATTGGATCGAACTGGACGCTCGGACACTCACAGAATTCACCGGGGTCATCACACAGGGCCGAGACGATCCCATCGAGTGAGATATACTGAATGAGGATCTTTATTCGTCGTATGTGTCGGTGTAGAGTAAGACACGAGCTCCACCACGAGAAGTGCTCTTTATTTAAAACCAGGGCAGAAAGGCACTGACCCTGCAGGGTGGGCACTTCACCCTCATGGTGACCACCAACCCACACTAACCAAACCCGCTCCCCTACACAGAACAACAATAAACACAAACAACAACATAAGTATCCTTTCTGAATGGTGCGGAGCTTCCATGAACCTCCTGGCGCAGCCATCAGCATGGCCACACCTAAGGAGCGTCCAGAGGCCAGCGCCAGCCAGTATAGCCAGTATACTGAGAGTTTTCTTGGTGCTGATGTCAACTGAAATACCAAATACACAAACAGATAGTTACAGTTCTAAAAGCTGATTGGTTCATCCATGTTTTAAGTCATTGAAAGGTAATCCATACACACATATATGACCACATACATCAGCTGAATCCTGTATTAATGCACCAGATTATTAAAAAACAATGAATGGTTACATAGAATCAAATGTTGCTTTGGCAACCGCAGCTTACTGTTAATGAACTACATTGCTTAGTGAAAGAACTGGCTGCTTGCAAAATTCAAAAGTCCCACCTTAATTTCTGTTGTCCATCCAACCTTCAGTTCAGGCTACCTGGTAGCATTTGTAGCACTAAAAATACTAAAAAGTTTAGTAGCATTAAGGAAATTATAGAAGCAAATTTACAGGGAGATTCATTCGAAAGAGGCCCCGAATATTCTGCTGTAACTTCTGTTAGGATGAAGCAATCTGAACCAAAAAAATACGCTACATACCTCGACGTGTGTGTAATCGATTGCATTACATGTGATGCTGGAAGTGATCTCCATTTTCTGCCAGACACATGAAGGGGTACGGGGGTATGCAGCTTGAAGTTCCAAACGGAGCTTAAGCATCGCGACCTCATCACTCTGACACAGGGGCATCCTGGCTTGTTTGAAGCTCCATGTACTGAGGAGCTCATTGCACATTGTGTCATTCAGATTGCTTCATCCTAGCAAGAGTTATTACAGAATATTCGGGGCCTCTTTCAAGTGAATCTCCCTGTAGAAGCACAGTTTAAAGTTCTGTGCAGACACACATCTGAGGATTTACAAAATATGCATGTAGACCAGTCTGAAACAAAAACAGATTCTGGAAACTCTGTTTAAATTAAACAAAACAGTGACGTCATTTAGCCACATCTAATACGGAGGAGGTCTGAGCGTGTCCTGGAAACAAAAGGGAAACATACAGCTAACGTATTCGTTTGCTTTTAGAAACGACTATGTGACTTCATACTACGTGGCCTTCAGCAATGACAGTAGAGAATGGACGGTTCTTCATGATGGATACTCGGAGTGGGTAGGTTCCTAGATCCTTGTTAATCGTCCACCACTGCTTGTTGAAAGGTTCTGTTGTCATAACTGCAGCGTCTGTCATGTGCAGTTTGTTCCGACCACACAATCTGATTGGTTGAAAATGTGTTACGTTAATAGAACTGTGTTCTGCGCTCATTGTCCATTTTATCAGCTCCACTTACTATATAGGTGCACTTTGTAGTTCTACAGTTACAGACTGTAGTCCATCTGTTTCTCTGATACTTTGTTAGCCCCCTTTTACCCTGTTCTTCAGTGGTCAGGACCCCCGTGGACCCTCACAGAGCAGGTACTATTTGGGTGGTGGATCATTCTCAGCACTGCAGTGGTGTGTTAGTGTGTGTTGTGCTGGTACGAGTGGATCAGACACAGCAGTGCTGCTGGAGTTTTAAACACCATGTCCACTCACTGTCCGCTCTATTAGATGCACCTGTGTTGTTGTTCCACCCTGTAGATGTAAAGCCAGAGATGATAACTGGTGGTCATCAGTGGTCACAGGACGCTGCCCACAGGATGCTGTTGGCTGGATATTTTTGGTTGGTGGACTATTCTCAGTCCAGCAGTGACACTGAGGTGTTTAAATACTCCAGCAGCACTGCTGTGTCTGATCCACTCAGACCAGCGCAACACACACTAACACACCACCACCACGTCAGTGTTACTGCAGTGCTGAGAATGATCCACCACCCAAAAAGTACCTGCTCTGTGAGGGTCCACGGGGGTCCCGACCACTGAAGAACAGGGTAAAAGGGGGCTAACAAAGTATCAGAGAAACAGATGGACTACAGTCTGTAACTGTAGAACTACAAAGTGCACCTATATAGTAAGTGGAGCTGATAAAATGGACAATGAGCGTAGAAACAAGGAGGTGGTCATAATGTTATGCCTGATCAGTGTAAATGGACACTTTTTAAAATCTTCCTTAATGGGTTAAACCATCTACATCTACTCATCCACCTCCTCCTCTACACCCCTCTCTTTTTTCAGCTGTTCTTTGGGAACAATGATAAACACAGTCCAGCGATGTCTCAGTTCGTGGAGCCTGTGGTGGCGCGCTACATCCGCATCCTGCCCCAAAGCTGGAACGGCACCATGTGCATGAGGATGGAGGTCATGGGCTGCCCTCTGCCTGGTGAGCTGCACCACCTTTGACCTTCAGTTGCTTCCTGTAGTTGATGCTTTCAAGCTGCACATAACAGCCAAAATACGTATAATACAACTAACAACCAGCATATATATGCATAATATTACTAATGATAACAGTGATGCCATTAATGCTGCTATTACTAATACTGTTTTATCATCTACCTCTATTAGGATTGTAGTGTTTTTAGTGTCATTTTAATATATATTTGATCCACTTTGCATAATTATGTCATAGTTATGCAAGAAATTACATTTACATTTGATTAACATTCTGTATGGACAGGTTTATTTTGATATGAATAAATGACAAAAATACATGGCAAAAATACAGCTGTGAGCAAAGGTTTGGGCGCCTCTAGTCAAATTGCATGTTTTGCTGAGGTTCTAAGTGTAAATAGGTGAACACATCCTCTATACAGAGCACACTACTGCACATCTTAATCAACAGTTACTGTACGTGGAACTTAAAATACTGTACAAAACATAAAATGTGGCCCGTGCAAAAGGTTATGGCACCTTTATAATGTATGTTTATATACAATATATAAATACATTGTTTTTATGTATCTGTTATATACATGTTGTATGTTAAACTTAGCACATAAATAGAAATAATGCGTAAAAATAGCAGACAAATATCATATTTAAGCGTGTTTCCTGTAAAAGATGTGTGCTTATTTTCACTTTTCAATAAAAAAATCAATAAAACGTCATTTGACTGGAGGAGTTGCAATTTTTTGAGGTTATCTGTAAAAAGATGTTTTATGTTTCCACAAAATAAGACTGTACACACAACTTTTCATCAAGTTCAAACTAATAATAATAATAATAATAATAATAATAATAATCTCTTCACCCTTAAAAAGGCGGTTCTTCCAGGGTTTTTCAGTAAAGGCAGTTATAAAGTTATATAAAGAACTATAGCAAGTCGAAAATCATATATGGTTCTTTTGCAGGGTGAAACGGTTCTTCTCTGTGATACGAACCCTGCTCTTTAAAGAACCTGTCAAGATTTGGTTTTAAAAAGTCTGCTACAAGTTATAGAACCTTTGACCTTAACTTTGAGCTACAAGTGAGAAATCATTCTAATAACTGTGAGAAATAATAGTGATTGTAATAATAAAGACACTTCTGATAATAATGTAAGCATTTGTGATTGATGTTTTTCCCGTCACTCAGACCCCCTGAGCCAGTACCAGAGTCAGAATGAGGTGATATCTAAAGACGACCTGGACTACAGACACCACAGCTACGAGGACATGGAGAAGGTGAGGTGGCCAGGGGAGACCACCGATCAGGCATAACATTATGACCACCTCCTTGTTTCTATGCTCATTGTCCTTTTTATCAGCTCCACTTACTATATAGGTGCACTTTGTAGTTCTACAGTTACAGACTGTAGTCCATCTGTTTCTCTGATACTTTGTTAGCCCCCTTTTACCCTGTTCTTCAGTGCTCAGGACCCCCATGGACCCTCACAGAGCAGGTACTATTTGGGTGGTGGGTCATTCTCAGCACTGCAGTAACACTGACATGGTGGTGGTGTGTTAGTGTGTGTTGCGCTGGTGCGAGTGGATCAGAGTTTTAAACACCTCAATGTCACTGCTGGACTGAGAATAGTAAACCAGCCAAAAATATCCAGCCAACAGCGTCCTGTGGGCAGCGTCCTGTGACCACTGATGAAGGACTAGAGGATGACCAACACAAACTGTGCAGCAGCAGATGAGCTATCGTCTCTGACTTTACATCTACAAGGTGGACCGACAAGGTAGGAGTGTCTAATAGAGTGGACAGTGAGTGGACACAGTGTTAAAAAACTCCAGCAGGACTGCTGTGTCTGATCCACTCGTACCAGCACAACACACACTAACGCACCACCACCACCACGTCAGTGTTACTGCAGTGCTGAGAATGATCCACCACCCAAAAAGTACCTGCTCTGTGAGGGTCCACGGGGGTCCCGACCACTGAAGAACAGGGTAAAAGGGGGCTAACAAAGTATCAGAGAAACAGATGGACTACAGTCTGTAACTGTAGAACTACAAAGTGCACCTATATAGTAAGTGGAGCTGATAAAATGGACAATGAGCGTAGAAACAAGGAGGTGGTCATAATGTTATGCCTGATCGGTGTATATAGTAAGTATAATAATACAAAAAGCTCATCATCAAGATTTTCAACCAGTTTCATTACTAAGAGGAATCCCTTAAACTCAGGGGTTCTTATATAGTCAGTAATCTTAAGGATTATATTACAGTGATGACTATAAACTATTCTGTGAACTAATATGAGTTGTGCAGTTATGAGTGAGGAACGAAAGTCTTGAATGTTTTTAGAGTTTAAGAGATTAATGTTAAGTAATTATCTGTTTTTGTTGTTACAGTTTATGAAGTCTGTTTCAGACGAGTGTCCCGACATCACCAGACTGTACAGCCTGGGCAACAGTTCAAACGGTCGGGAGCTTTACGCCATGGAGATCTCGGATAAACCTGGGATTCACGAGATAGGTGAGGAACTCCACAAACAGTAGAGGTAGACTGGGTCTTAGAAAGGGGAGAATTTTAATGATGAATGAGGATGGGCCTCTCTAATGGATCTCAAGGCTCTTCAGGTAAAAAACAAATAAGGCAGGTATGAAGCAGATACTTCTAGCACTTTGGAAAGTTTGATATACCAGATTATTATGTAAATTAATGGAATTGCTTTGTGAGCCTGACTTTTAAATATAAAATATCCCCATGAATAATTTGCCTTCTTTAAACTTGACACTACAAGTTGAATAACCACGGAAAGATGGTTGAAGTCTGAAGTACCCGCAGGTGATAATGTAAATTTATGGAATCGCTATGATATTCTGACACTCTTGCATATTAAAAACGTTGAAAACATTCATATTCCTGATGCCACTAGTTAAATTAACAGCGAAGGCCAAGCTGTAAAACTCCTGAAGGCTTATGACTCAAACCCACCTGTTCCCTGTCTGTCCAGGAGAACCGGAGTTCCGCTACACGGCTGGTTACCACGGTAACGAGGCTCTGGGCCGAGAGCTCCTGCTGTTGCTCACGCAGTACCTGTGCAGGGAGTACAAGGACGGCAACCCGCGAGTGCGCCGCCTGGTGGACGGAACACGCATCCACCTCGTTCCTTCAGTCAACCCGGATGGCCACGTGAAAGCCTTTGAGAGAGTACGCAGTGCCCAATCGTCATCCTTCTGCATCTTTGTGTCTCTGAATTTATCCTGTCTTTTGAGTCTGTTATTACTCACAGTCCACTGTTGATGCACAGTTTTATTCCCAGGTAGCAATTAAAAATGAGTCAGGCTTGCGTTTAGTTTGTATTGGCTTTCAGATCTTAAAGGAACTTTGAGCTTTTGCTTTTGAAAACGTCTGTTAAACTTCAGCACCAATCTCTGTGTCTCAGGGTTCGGAGCTGGGCAGCTGGACAGTGGGTCACTGGACTGAAGATGGCGCTGACATCTTCCAGAACTTTCCAGACCTCACTAGCATGTTCTGGGATGCGGAGGACAAGGGCATGGTGCCCAAACTGACCCCAAATCACCATGTGCCTATTCCTGATGGCTACCTGGCGGAAAACGGACCTGTAAGAGAAACTTTACAAGGGATACGAGGCATATTCTAGCTTCTAAAGAACGTAATATAATAGTAACATACTCCAAATAATTGACATGCTGGATATCGTATTTCTAACAAGACCTATTTTGATAGAAGTATAACTTTTTTAAATTTTACATTTGACTAGTCCATTTTATCCTTTCAACAAAAATCAAACCACTTTGGGAGCCACAACGTTTTATGTCCATTTTACCATCTTGGCTGTAAATATGTCTCAGTATGTGCTGATGTACTAATATAGGATATTAAATATAAACAAAAATGCAGACTTACTTTGCTCAGCTTTAAGCTTTAGCTCAGCTATAGCAGCTTTTATAGATGCTTTTCTCGCATCTCCAGCAGGAAACTTTTCCAAAAGTAGAACAGTTTCTTGTAAAATGTCTCTTAGTCTCTCAATTTTTATGAGGCTGAAGTTGCTTCTCATTCACCAGCTTCTTGTTTGAATTTTCCTGTTCCACCTTAAATGTTCCTGAGGTGCCAGAATGTAACTGCTGCACCATTTAAGGTGGAATGAGAAACTGACTTCAGCCTCACAACTTTTTAGTGCAGATGAAACGTATCATGAAACCAGCTGAAGTGATTATAAATGCAAATAAGTCCATTTGTCTCCAAACTATCAATGTTCATCTTGAATCTCTCTCTTTGCCTTTTCGTTAGCTACTACGTAGGCCAGATTGTTGTCTGTGTTGCTATGGTGACCAGCAGTCTGCTCTGATCTTCAGGGTTAAAGGGTGAATTAGCAGTTCTACATTAATTCCAGAGTTTAAGACCATTTATCGACCCCTGGACTAGACAGTGCTGTGAACCAGCTGTAATGAAAAACAGAGCAATAACCTTAGTTGCTTGTGACCATAGGTAGTTGTGGAGACCCGGGCCCTCATCTCCTGGATGGAAAGCCACTCGTTTGTTCTAGGCGCAAACTTGCAAGGAGGGGAGCGGATGGTTACGTACCCCTTCGACATGCGACGTCTCACCAAGGAGTCTGAGGAACGGGAGAAGAGGCTACACCCCAGGGCAAACCGGTACAAGCGCCAGTATGAGGAGGAGGAAGAGGAACCCAACCCTTACCTCCACATTGGGTACCATCAGGAGAGCTATGGATACAACCCAGACCCCCATGGTTACAATCAAGAGAACTATGGCTACCACCAGGAAAATTATGGATACCATCAAGAGAACCAAGGGTACCATCAAGAGCACCAAGGGTACCATCAAGAGAACCAAGGGTACCATCAAGAGCACCAGGAGTACCATCAGGAAAACCAAGAGTATCATCAGGAGAACCAAGGGTATCATCAGGAGAACCAAGGGTACTACCCTGAAGGTCATTCTGAAGGGTATCATGAGGGGTACCAAGAAGGGTATCAGGAGAGTTATCCAGAGGGCTACAGGGAGGGCGCAGATGGAGATGGGGATGCAGAGGAGGAGATCAGGATGGTCGAGGACCAGTCCTTGTTCCGCTGGCTGGCCATATCTTACGCCTCCACTCACCGCACGATGACCAACACTTTCCGGGGTGGCTGTCATACCGACGACCCCACGCGTGGTCTGGGAATCGTTAACCGCGCCAAGTGGAAGCCCATTCCAGGAAGTGAGTATGTAGGGGGTTTCCATAAAAATTCCATTGTGTTATTTTTATATTTTATCTTTTCCACCTGATGGAAAACCTGATTCATAAAAGTAAGCGTGCTATCTTAGTCCAGATATTTCATATTTTAATTTCTCTCTCGTTCAGGCATGAATGATTTCAGCTACCTGCACACCAACTGTTTTGAGCTGTCCATCTTCCTGGGTTGTGATAAGTTCCCCCATCAGAGTGAGCTCCAGAGAGAGTGGGAGCACAACAGAGAGGCTCTGCTCACCCTTATGGAGCAGGTGAGCGGGTCACCACTGCTGGATCGATGCTTTGCATGGTTCCAAACCACTCTGATGGCTTTTCTGCCCTGTTAACACTGTTTGGTCCAAATATCCTGTAGATAAACTGCTTTTATATTAGCGATTCTTACCAATTCTTGCTTCATTGGTGACTTAACGCTCACCATTCCATCTTCTGCAGGTGCATCGGGGTGTGAAGGGGGTTGTTTCTGACAAGGACGGCAAACCTATTCGAAACGCCTCTGTCTCTGTGGAGGGAGTCAACCATGACGTCACGACAGGTGAGACCGGTAGCTTTTTGGAGGTCAAGCTATTTCTATTACTGCTTTAGACAGTGTGTTTTCATTAAAGAATTCCTGAGTGTCTTCACCATATTTGTGCTTGTGGCAATTCATTTCCTTCTAATATAGGGTGAATATCGCTAAAGTGGGAGCTTATCAGATATATTAATTTCTCTAGCACTCTCAGCGTCACATATCTAACAGCATATCTTCATAAAAGATTGAAATCACCCTCATGTTTAGTCAAACATTAAGAAATATGAAACACGAAATACGAAACGCTGTTGACCAAAACTTGGACCAAAAATTGGGATACATTTTTTTCACTGTAAAAACAGAGGCTGCCACTTTAATGAACATGTTTAATGATTATTTATTTTTACTGTAATACGCATATGAATTAAATTTATGACTAATATCTGTGAGCCTGTGGAAGAAATCAAACCAAAACTCTTCAGCTTGCTTTGTTGTTTTTGAGTAAACTCTTAAAAAAGAACCTTAAGTTCTATCTAGAACCATTTCATGTGTGGTGAAATCATTTCTGGATGGAAATGTAGTATGCGGTTCTATACAGCACCAAAAAGGGTCCTTCTGTTGTGACGATGTCAAGCTTATAACAACAGCAAAGCCCCATTTGGTGCTTTTAAGAACCATATAACAGACATTCTCCATCAATCTGAAGAACAATCTTACCATGCAAAGAACCATTTAAACACAAAATGTTTCTATATACAAATGTCTGTCCCACACCCAGTTACTGGTAAGTGGGAAAAATTGTCCACAATAAAAACATAAAAAATATGTTCTAGATTCTGCTGGAGTTTTAACCTATAAACATAAATTTAAATTATTATTGATTGAGGAAGCCCCTCCCCCAGTAATGACTTCATAAACATAAAACCCAGTTTAACAGTTTACTTTGACAGGATGACTTTGGTAATGATTTTAGATCAATGAAGTATATATACAGAAAAAAAATAGAGGATACAGGTGGGCGATATGGCAGAATTATGATATTGCGATACTTTATACAATATATCACAATATTTATTTTTTCAGACATCTGAGCAGTTGGAACACAGAAAAAGAGCAAGTAGTGCTACATTTAAAAAGTACCTATGATTTTTTCCATATTTGGCAGTGAATCCAGTTAAACAGGTCTAACTTTGCTCTCTTTATAGTGAAACATTCAGTCAGTCATTGTTCTGACCAACAAGCACTGACGATATACACAATAAGTTCAGAAAAGCATATTGTATTGTGATATAATTTATTGTGATAACGATATATATTGTCATATCGCCAAGCCCTAATAGAGGATCAAGCTTAACTGTCCCACTTTATCCATGTTTACTTATTTTACTCCCTTATGCCAAACGTAGTCGATCAACTAAAACATTTAGTGTCCAAGGTTTGTATCTTTAGTCTAAGTTGAGCACAAACCTAATGTGGTGGTCAAGTAATGGAAACGTATGCCCCACCAGTTCGCTCTGTGCACTCTGCACGCCTAACGGCTCTGTCTCTCTCCCAGGTGAGGCTGGAGATTACTTCCGACTGTTGAACCCTGGTGAGTACCGTGTGACGGTGCGCGCCTATGGCTATTCCTCACAAACCCGGATGTGTGTGGTCGGCTTCGAACCCGGCGCCACCCTCTGCAACTTTGAGCTCAGCAAGTCCAACTGGGATCGCATTATGGAGATCTTGGCTCTCCACGGTGACAAGCCCATCCGAGTGCTTAACCCCGGAAAAGGCCATCCCCACATGCCCAGAGGTGGCCGTAGAAGGGTAGGCAGTAGTGGGGTCGACATCCGTAACAAAATTTCTCGTACCGACATCGCCAGAGCTCATCGCCGGCGGCAATGGCTCCGGCGCCAGCGTCTAAAACAGCTGCTGGCAGCCCAGATGACCACTACCACGCTGCCTCCAACAACTACCACGCCAACCACCACGCCTACCACCACCATACCTCCAACTACTGAGAGCACCACACTGTGGTTCGACTACGGGCCTGTGGAGGAGATTACTAAGGAAAACACCACCCAACCTGAGCTTGAGATTACAGACTCACTCGACTACAACTACAACTACAACGACAGCTACAACTACACCGACAGCTACAACTACAGCTCCAAGACAGAGGATTACTGAAGGGTCCGAGGTGCGCCTCAGACGTAGAGTACGCACCAGCTTCTCCTTCTTTCACAAAGGACAGATGAGTGCCCACGGACAGTTCAAGAACCGGACCGCAGAGGAAACGATCTACCAGTCTGCATGTACACCACCTCAAATAAAAGAATAGGTTCAGGAGCGGGTATATATATATATCACTTTAACATAGGCCAGTGGTCTCCAAGCTCACGCCTGGAGGTCTACCCTTGTACAAAGTTCTGCTTATTTAACCACGCCGGTCCAGTTCTTCTGGACAGATTAACTTTGCAGGAAGGCAGAGCTTCAGGAGGAAGGCTGGTGACCACTGATATAGAATACGCACCAGCTTCTCCTTCTTCAGCCGTGAGATTGAAAAAGGAGGGATGATCGCTCATGTACAGTTCTAGAAACAGCAAATAATCAAAACTCAATACTACAGGCCAGGGGTCATCAACTGCAGTCCTGAGATGATGTCCAGCACAGTTTGTTGACCTTCCTGCTCAAGCATAAAACCAAACCTGGTAATTAAGTTGCATCAGGAGTGTGTGAGCCAGGGAATGACCAAACTGTGCTGGTCTCTGGCCTTCCAGGACTGGACCTGATGACCCCTGCCATCGTCCAGTGTGCATCTATATCAATAAGAACAACAGATACTAAAGGGAGTACATATAGTGGGGTACAACAGTCTGAGACCACTAATGAAAAAGACTCTATTTTGCATTATTTTCTAATGTAATGCAGTATTTTTCATCACAAATGATAAGATTAGCATAACAATGTGAGTGAAAAAGTATATTTTAAATATTTCTTAGTATTTGGTAGTTTTTGCCCCCTTTGCTTTAATGACTGTGCACTCAAGCTGCATGGCAACCACAAGATTGGGCAAAAGCCTCTGATCAGCAGGTCAAATTGACCCGAGAGTCGTCTGAACACGAGCTTCAATGGACGAGATAAGACAAAAATGACCTTTTTGTACATTAGCGTGGCCTCAACAAGGTCAGAAATGTCCTTACATTTGGATAGTGACCGATACGCAGAGCAGAATCTTCAATGTTTTCTTCTTGTCATAACTTTTCCACATTTTCAATTTATTTCCATGATTTAAACAAAACCCCAAAAATCCAGATTTTCAATGTGGTCTCAGACTTTTGGACCCCAATATTAAGACCACTTGTGGTCCACAACCCTGCTCCTGGAGACCCACCATCCTCCAGAGTTTCGCTCCAACAAAATCATACACAACTGATCCAACTACTGTCTTGAAAAGTCCTCAACCAGGTAATCAAGTGTGTTAGATTTGGGCCCAATCCAATTTCTTATTTTTACCCCTACCCCTTGTTTTCAAGTGTTGCCCCTTGGAACTGAGTTACAGGGTAGTGGTTGAAATCTCCCCTCTGAAATGGGACCCTCAAATAAAAAGAGCATCACTTCATTAACAGCTACCAGCGCTGCTCTGTAGGCGACCCTGCCAGTCTGCAGTGACAGCAGAGGAGGGTAAAGTTCAGCTCCTCACTGCTGGGCTTTAGTTACATTTAGGGCATCATATGATCTTCAAAGAGGGGGGCAATTATTTATTATCACCCACCCCTAATTCTTCAGTGATACGAAGCTGAAGTCAGATATTCTCCAAATTCTTGTTCGAATTTTCCCGTTTCACCTTAAATGGAGCAGCAGTTCTGATACCTGAGGCTCCAGAATGTAACTGCTGCACTATTTAAGGTGGAACAGGAATTTTAGCAAGCCACCGAGACATCAGCATACTACTAGTAATTTTTATGCTTGTTATGAAGAAAAGGCACCATAATACATTGAAATGACATTAAACTAAGATAATATGATGGTTATTGTAATTTTTTAATTGGGAAAATTCTCAAATTTGTGGGTTTCTGTTTGGAGCATCTCTGAAAAACCTCTGTTTGGAGGGCCATGTAGCCTCAGCAACTCGCCCTACCCCTCTATCTCAACAAGAATCGGGACACCTTATGCCTAGCATGAATGAGCAAAACAGAAGGGTAGGGCTAAGTGGTGAAATGGGATTGGGCCTTGGAGGTGAAACCTACAGGTTAGCACATCACCAGGAGGAGGGTTGGTGACCACAACCTAACGAATATATATCATCACTGTTACGTACAGGGTGGTAAAAACATTCATCCGATTTCAAAGCGCCATATTTTTATAACCATGAGGCGCCTAGGAACCAATCACAATCCAACTGAAAGAGGGGGTCATAGAGTTTCTGACCATCAGTGGAAGATGGCTCTTTTCAGTCTGAGAGGAGATGAGACCCCTGAGCAGAAAGCGTTCTGCGTTCTCCACTTCAATAAGAGTGAATCCGTCATAACTGTGCAGTGTGATTTTCGTGGGCAGTGAAGCTCCAACAGCTCAGAGCATTCGTCGTTGGTTCCACAACACTGGATGATCTCCGAAATCGCACTGAAAGAGCCGTGAGTGCAGCGACACCCGACATGCTCAATCCAGTATGGGATGAGTTTGACTATGGCGTTGATGTTGTCTGTACAGCTGGAGGAGGTTCAGACTGAGAACTTGTACAATTACATAATAAACTTCATGCTCATTTAAACCATTTACAGTTCACTGCACTGATCTGTAATGATTCACAAGTGAAATGAATCATTTTGGAATCGGATGAATCTTTTTGAATCACCCTGTATTTTGGTTTTGGACTCCTCCATCAGCTCGTGCTGCCAAAAGTAGCTGAAATGTTTGCTGTTACAGATCTCATGTCCTGGGAAGAGTCTATAGGCCACCAACTCCTCTGCATCTGGCACAGCTTTCTGCCAAAGCCTTCATCCTTAATTCACTTAAGTCCTCCACGTGGGCTGAAGCATCACCCTCTCTGGTCTCCATCGATTATTTCTGACCAACAGCTAAACAGCCTGGGCACTAACTTAAGAGAGTTCTCCGCCATGTCTATTCGATCCACCCACCTGCTTCCCACAGAAGAAAAAGAGAATGTGTATACAAAACGGACTTTATTTACATTTCTTGCACACAAGTAAACAAACCTTTCGCTTGTCGAAGACGGCACAATGTCTACAGGAGGGACTTTTCTCAAAAACTCCTCGAGGTTGAATGACTGGAGGTAAAGAACTGTTATTTCTTCATCTAATAAAGGCCTGTTTATGTATTTTTTCGTGTGTTTGCCGTATTTTAAATCATACAGTCCAAGACAAAAGACAGTCAAAGAGAAACTATCAGCTTCTGAAGTTTAGCTTGGTTTGTGTTTGCTTGCACAAAAAAGTCAGCAGATCAGTTACGTAGATCAGTGATTGTGAGATGAGAATTACAAACTGGAAGTGGGTGTGGCTTAAACCAGAAGTATGAGGTGCTGTAAACTATACTAATAGACTGCAAAGTCATCAAGAAACTCATGTTAATAACATGCATTTCGCTGCTGCATGAAAACCTTGTATCTCCATTTTTGCCACTTTGTCATTTTACAGTTTCTAACAAAATTTGAAAATACCTTTTGCACATTTTGCACATTCTGTGCAAATTTAATGACAAATGGAGCAAAAAAAAATGGCCCAAAATTACTTGGACAAACATCTGGTTTCACTGACTTACATTAGAAGTACAGTAGTTTTTTTCCTTCTCCTGTAAAGTTACCATTTTGGAGATACAAGGTTTTGCTCAGACAGCAGCGACATGGAATGTAACAGACAACCAATCAGCAGCCTGGATTTTAAACAAGCATGCTTATTGGCTCACAGCTGCAATGACTGACTACTCGGGTACTGAAAGATACCGCAAGACAATTTTTTGATACTTGGTAGTACTGAAGTAATTCGCTCTGCACTCTGCAGGACTAAACGTAACACTGACTTACATTCATGACTTCAGCTGTTAAAGTGTGACGAAGGCAGACGTGGGTTGAATCGTGTTCCTGCTCATACAAGCATTACGGCGTTTTCTCTAGGAAACAAACAGGCCGACGGCTGATGCTGGACAGTTTGTGTATTCTTGATAGATATTCTATAACCAGGAGTAGAAAAGTACAACACTTCTGTACTTGAGTGGGGGTATGAATACTTTTGGGAAAGTAGAAGCAGAAATATTCCCTACATATTTGTAGGCAAGGTACAAAGGTTCTTGCTTTTACCTGTACTTATGTATCAAACCCAAAGGTAATGAGTTACTACATGTTTATTATATTCTGATTAAAAGGTTTATATTAAGAAGACCTTTATAGACCTTTAAACAGTTCATCAGAATAATGTAACAATCAAAATAACTCACTACTTTTGCTATTGATATGTGAAGGGGAATTCCACTGATTTTCCAAAATTTCTGCATAATTAAGTCATTTAAATGGTTCACAGAGGAGGTGACAGGAACCATTTCACATTAAGCCACTCTGAATGACTTTGTTTACATTTCAACCTCTGAGATATGCAGAAATTATCGAAAAGTGGTGGATTTTCCCTTGAAGTACAGTTCAACTCAGGTACAAATACAGTGACTTTATAAACACTTCTACTCTGACCCAAATCATATTTTACCCGGAGTGTTTAAAGCTCTCACTCAAGTTTTGTGTGGCTATGATGACACATGAGCTCAGTGGCTGATGTTCATCTCGTCCTCGTCGTCCTGAGCGGAGAAGGAGGAGAAGCAGACCGGCTCGCACTCGAGAGTGCGCAAGTTCACCAGACAGGCCGTCTGTGTGCTGCTGAATTCTGGGACAGTTACTAGCAGCACGTCCTGCCCTTCAGGTCCTGACAGAGGGGAGAAGACTGGTGTTAAAATGCACACTAAACACAAACACAGGCCCTGTCCCAATGCATGCTCCAAGCCCTGAAGCCCTAAAGTGTGCAAGGACTTAAATATACCTAAATAAATGGGACATGACCAAGAATGTGCACAACAGCTTAAAATGATCCCAGTTAGAGGTCAGTATGAGTTGTGTGCTGCTAGTAAAGGAGCTCTGAACTGACCTGTAACGCGTTTGGACTGGTACGCTGGTGCATTTCCACTGAAGTACACATGAGGGCACTCGTTCATAATGAACGGGTCCTGCTGGTAGAACGGGTAACAACCTGGAAACAGGAAAAGCTCAATGAGATAAATATCATTGGGAAGTGATAATTTGGAAAGGTTTGTATGTAAAGGTTTAGCTCATTAGGATCACGAGTGGAAAAAAATATTATTTATACTATAAATAATAATTTAGTATGAAATACTAAAAAAAAATGAAAGCTTCTTAAGATTAAGTGACCCTTATTAGTCCCACAACATGGAAATGTGGTGAAACACCACATACACACTAGTGAACACACATACTAGGGGGCAGTGAGCACCCTTGCTCGGAGTGGTGGGCAGCCCTATCCACAGTGCCCGGGGAGCATTTGGGGGTTAGGTGTCTTGCTCAAGGGCACTTCAGTCACGTACTGTCAGCTCAGAGGGATCAAATTGGCGACTTTCCGGTCACAAGGCTGGTTCCCTAAGCTCCAGTCCATGACTTTCACATGAAAGTATTCGATTCATAATATTGAAACTGCTCAATTATCTGTGGTCATAACTGAGGTGGAAATGAGTGAAATGCAGTGGAAGTGGAGGTTTCTGTACCCAGCGTGTCGGGGGCAGTAGGTGCGAGGTGACGGAGACGCAGGGTGCTCTCCAGGATCTCCAGATGATCGTCCATGCTGCTGTACTTGACAATGTCGCTCACATTCTGCCCAGAGGTGCCCAGAAAACTGACCACACACATATAAAAAGTAAATTTAAGCTAAAATAAAATAAAAAAATGTCAATACTTGTTAGAAATGCCCAACAGAAAATTGGGAAAGTGCCCCCATTGGTCAGATCAGCAGCTTGTGTCATCACATGATAAAAATGCCAGTTTACTATTTATTTCAGTTTTTTCCAAGCTGCAGATTAGCAAAGTAAACAAAGTAACAAGTAAACAAATATTAAGCTGAGTTTGGATTTGTGTATTGAGTCTGACTCACCGGACTCCGTCCATGACGGCCTGGTAGGGATTGGTGACCAGCTGCAGGGTGGGGTACGGCACAGAGAGGGGGAACATGCAGCGGTGCAGGGACTGCTGGGGCAGAGTGTAGTTAGTGGGGTCAAACTCTCCTGGCATCACATCCACCGGTACAGAGGCCTGCAGGGGGCGGAGAGCACAGCAGAGTCAGGGCAGACACTTCAGAGCAGATTTTGTAGCCAATAATAATAATAATAATAAATCAAAGGTAGAGATGAAGACGGTGCAAAACACTGACCACAAGCTGAACTAGCAGCTCATCCAGCAGCCTGATGGCCTCCACACTGCCTGCCTGAGTCTTCTTAGTCAGATACTTTGCCTAGAAACGACAGAGGAACGTTAGAACAATCAGAACATCTTTAACAACAACAACAACAACAACAACATGAATAAAAGAAAAAGAAGCGAAAAATTAGAAGAATAAGAAAAAGAAGTACAATTTTAATAAGAATAAGTTGAAAAAAAAAAGAAAAAAGAGGAAAAAAAGAAAAAGAATTTATTTGTGGTCCAGTTATTGCAGCAGGAATTAAAATACTGAGTAATTAAAAACACCACATTATTCTGATGTTAAAACAAATCATACAATTGAATATAAAAACATAAACAAATGTCAATTTTTAAATAAAAATAAAATATTACTACGTAGTTATTCGTCTTGTTGTGACATGTTAAAATAATAACAATAATAATAATAATAATAATAATAATAATTTGCCTTTATAATAAAACACACAACTGAATATAAAAATAAACAGAAAAAGTTTGAATTGAAACAAAATATTACTATGTAATTTACAGTCTTGTCATATGTTAAAATAATAATAATAATAATAATAATAATAATAATAATAATAATTTGTTACAATAAACCATACAATTGAATATAAAAAAATTTAAACAAAAATTAAATATTATTATTATTACTCTTATTATTACTCTCATTATTATTTCTTTCCTGGAACATATTGGAACAAAATAAAACAAAACCAAAAAAAACCAAAAAAAAACAGATGTCACATGAAGCAAAAGCAAACTGACCTACAACAAAAGAAGACATTAAAACACAGCTGAGAAACCCTTGACTGAATTTTTCATAACTAACAATAATCTGTTTCATAAAGCTCCTGTGTTCTCTGAGAGAACGCCTCCCTGTACTGACCTTGGTGGTGGAGTCTTTGTCCTGTGTGCTCTGACTGAGGAGGTTTCCAGCCAGCAGGACCCGTGAGATGGACGCTGCCCCGCTCTGCTCCCCCAGATCACCCAGGTGACCTGTGACCATGTCGATCAACAGCTGCAATCCCAGCATGCTGTCTGCTCCGCTGCCGCCCAATCCCAGACCAGACGCCAGGAGCACAAACCTGCAATCACCATGGAAACCAGGTGGGATAAGGTCAGAGGTGAAAAGTCATTGATATGCACTCAAAATAAAGGTTTTCATACAAGTTTTAAGGGTCTCCTGCCGGATGACGCCACAATATTAAAAAAGGTGCATTGACTATCGTACGCGTTATAAACACTGCCAACATTTAGTGCACATGTCCACGTCAAACGCGTCTCAAACGATCCAGAAACAAACGCCTCCTGTGTACAGATTGTTTGTGGCTCATTTTATGGTCCAACTGCGCATTAACAAAACAATTAACTCTGTGATTTGCTTAATATTTAAAAGGGAACTTACTCTGTTCTAGAGAAACCTACTGAGTCAGAACTGTTCACAGTGGTGGTGACAGGAACCAGACGTCCCCCTCTAAAAGCTCCCTCACAGAAAGTTCCTACATGAAATGGTTATGAATTCACTGGCTGATTAAACTCCATTCATGGTGGAGGGATACATGCAGGGTGCTGTGAGGCAAAATAGTCCCCAAAGAAACTTATTATTTCAGATCATCAACATTCCATATAAACTCAGAAGACTCGTGTAGGTTCACTGGTGGTTCTGGATAGTAAATAAAATGTCTATTTGTGTTGTAGTCATGGCGACCCCTGGTTCCTATCACCACCACTGTAAAGAAAATCTGAGCTTGTAAATTTCTCTACAAATTTCACATCAAACCACTTTGAATGACTGAATTGTGCAGAATTTTAAAAATTCAGTGGAATTCTCCTTTTACAGAGCTTTAAAAAGGCCCACACGTATAAACACTGGGTGTGAGCTTACCTGTCTGTGTTCAGAGGCTCTCTGGGTGTTTGTGGAGGAAGGTCAGCCAGGCAGTAATCCTCCACTGTAAATTTACCATCATTCTTCTCCGCACCCAGGATCGCGATCACACTGCCTGAGAAAGAACGATCAGTTAAAGGACAGAGTCAAAGCAGGTATTCTGAATTTACTGTACAAGGATTAACGGTCCCAAACTATGTGAGATGAGATTCAGTCTGAATCGTTCTGTGTTTTTTTTATTCACCAAACCAGAAATTTACCTAAAATAATTACTTAAATTCTTTTGGACATTGTACTAAAACTGGTTTACAACTGGTTTAAAACATGGTCCCTCACAAGTCCCTTGAAAGTAAACTCATATACACACACACACACACACACACACACACACACACACACACACACACACACACACACACACATATATATATATATATATATATACATATACATATATATGTATACATACACACACACACACACACACACACATATATATATATACATATATATGTATACACACACACACACACACACACACACACACATATATATATATATATATATATATACATATACATATATATGTATACATACACACACACACACACACACACATATATATATATACATATATATGTATACACACACACACACACACACACACACACACACACACACACATATATATATATACACACACATATATATCACTGTTGTCGGACCAAAACCTCGTATCTCCAAAATGGTAACTTTACAGGAGAAGGAAAAAACCTACTTTACTTTTAATGTAAGTCAATGGAACCAGACTTTTTTCCAAGTCCTTTTGGGCCGTTTATTTTGGTCCATTCATCGTGAAATTAACACACAATGTAAAGAGCAACAGACACTTTTAAATTATGTCAAAAACTGATAAACGGCAAAAATGGATATACAAGGTTTTCTTCCGACAACAGTGATATGCTGACATCTTAACAAGACTGCATATAGTTATATATTGGGGGCGGTCGTGGGCTGGAGGTTAGGGAACCAGCCTTGTGATCCCCTGAGCTGACAGTACGTGACTGAAGTGCCCTTGAGCAAGACACCGAACCCCCAACTGCTCCCCGGGTGCCGTGGATAGGTCTGCTCACCGCTCCGGGCAAATGTGCTCACTGCCCCCTAGTGTGTGTGTTCACTAGTGTGTATGTGGTGTTTCACTGCATGGATGGTTTAAAATGTGGAGGTCAAATTTCCCCACTGTGGGACTAATAAGGTCACTTAATCTTAATTTTAATCTTAAACTGATAGATATAAAACATACAAATAAACAACCATGAATATTACAGTCATAAGAATTAATGACAGACGTTTTTGAGCATCTTACCTGTAACAAACTTTGATGTTTCCATTTTGCCCTCCAGTTTGATCCTCTGCAGCTCATCCTCCAAAATAAGCTCGTCTGATTGGCTGATGTATTTAGCACGAGGAGGCTGGGGCAGCAGGTTGTGCTGAGAAGATTGAAGAAAGACAAAAGATGAAGGACAAAGAGAGGAATTAAAAAAAAGAATAAAAAAGGAAGTATTAGTAATACACGGTTATTGTGTGTACCTACAGAAGACAGTGTGGGTAACAGACACAAACAAACACACACAAATGTTGGTGTATTTTCATGCGGGTGTGTACTGTGTGAATTACCTCCTCGCTGATCTCCTTCAGTATGGACGGTTGGAGCTCCATGTGTTTGAATAAGGTTCCGACGATAATGCAGTGCTCTCCCGTCTGCAGGTCACACAGCTTCCTGACCGGCACCTCGGTACCTAAAACATACAGACCTGCTGCTTAATAACAGCAACCAGAGCACAGATCCTCAAAGACCACAGATATACACATCAGAGAGCTAATCAGATTAATTAAATTCAAATTAGATTAATTAGAGTTGATTAATGGATCAATTGAGAGTAGGTTTAAATAGTTCCATAGCCTTTGTGTACAGAAAATTATATATATATATATATATATATATTCACAGTGCTGGTTGAAGGTTAATATCCCTGGGATGATAATGGAAGACAATAGTATGGATCTATCAATGTTATCATTATTTTAGGGAAATATTATATTCATAAATGCAAATATATGACAGCGCGCCCACATTGTTCTGTTTTCAAGATGGAATTATCTTTGTATGTCCTCGCTTTAAAGGAAATGACACGTAGGAACACTAAGAGACCATAGATGTGCTTCAAAAATGTGCCTTTTTTGAAGACCCCTAGCAATACTTACCTTCAGAATTAAAAACAAAAAAGCTTGTTTCATTCTGTGTTGCTTGGTGCCTCTGTTCATTGTTAGTAGGGTTGGGAATCTCTAGGCACCTCACGATTCGATTCGATTCCGATTCAGAGGCTGCGATGCGATTATAAAACGATTATCGATTTTTTCCATACAGAATTTCTATTTTCTATTTTCTGTGTGAGGACTTTTAAAGTATCTGTAATGATCCATAATGAATTTACTTCCAATGTCTTTTATTAATAAAACAAATGGAAGTCATGTGGTGAGTGAACTGGAAGGCTCTCATTCACTGCACTGGTTTGGAGCACATGAGACGCTGCTGCCACTCATCTGCGATAAAATGTGCAGTTACGGTGAAATAAGGTCCAGTGGTGATGAGTGTCCACACAGCAGATTACAGCTATTCTACCTGCGTTATTTAGTGATTTCACAACTTCGGTTTTGGTCAAAATTTAGATTCTTAGTTAAAAATAAAATAATCCTCCTTTACAGTAAAATAAAGCTCTGCTGATCGTTCAACACAGTTTAACAATAAATGGTCTTAAACTCTGGAATTAATGTAGCCTATAACTGCTAGTTCACCTAGCTAATAGCTAACGAAACGGCACAGAGAGAGATTTAAGACAAACATTGATAATCTGGAGATGAATTGACTTATTTGCATTTATAATCACTCCAGCTGGTTTCCTGTGAAACTGTCAAACATACATGTGAAACTGAAGTCGAACAGCTTCTCGTTCTAATTGTTCCGTTCCACCTTAAACGGTGCAGCAGTTACATTCTGGCGCCTCAGGCAACATCTAAGGACAATTAGAACAAGAAGCTGGTGAATGAGAAGCGACTTCAGCCTCGTAAAAACTAGAACATTGAGAGACATTTTACAGGAAACTGTTCTACTTTTGGAAAGTTTCCTGCCGGAGATGTGAGAAAAGCAGCTACAGCTGAGCTAAAGCTTAAAGCAGAGCAGAGTAAGTCTGTGTTTTTGTTTGTATTATATTTTTTCTCTACACTGGAACATCAGCACATACTGAGACACGTACAGCCAAGATGGTAAAATGTTGTGGCTCCCAAAGTGGTTTGATTTTTGTTGAAAAGACACAATTACTCTTATTAACATTTGGGTTGCGACTCCTGCATCTAGTTTTGACTGTCTGGGCGCGGCACTTATACACTTTGCAAAGTTCCGCCTTTTGTGTTCCGTCAACATTACATTATCAGTTAAAATTTAGAAAATCGAGTTTTGACATTTGTGAATCGATTCAGAATCGTCCACGTCCGCATCGCGATGCATCTAAGAATCGATTTTCCCCCCACCCCTAATTGTTAGTGTGTGTTTTGTGTGTTTTATTGCTGATTCTATGAATATTAAATAATAATAATAATTATTATTATTATTATAATACAACTAAAAAAGGTTTCCAGTTTTAATACATAATCTTTCCTACTTCTTAAACTAAATTACAACAGTAATAATAATTTACTATTTCAGCTGATGAAGTTAAATTCTTTATTCACTCCAAACCAATGCATGACAAAAGGAAAACCGAACTCTTAAACAAATAAAAAGTAAAAAGTGAAAAAGTTTCTCACCCCACTTCTGCCCGGCTCTCTCCTTCAGGATGCCCCGCATCTGCATCAGCCGGGCGGCGTACATGTGCGCGTACTGCCGCTGAAAGCTGCGCTCACCCAGGCCGAACGGCTCACCGCAGCCGCTGTAAGAGCGCTCATCCCGGGAGAAGACCGGCCTCTCCGTCCCTGGAGGAGCCAGCAGAGTCTCCTTCGGCTCAGCTACATCCGAGAACATGACTCACCCCTGAGGACAGTAAACAAAAACAATCAACAAACAAAAACAATCAACAAACAAAAATAAGTTGGCTTTCTGCTCGCCCGCGATTTTCCCGTTCCACCTTAAATGGAGCAGCAGTTCCATTCTGGCCGCTGAGGCGTTATAGCAACTGCAGCACTATTTAAGGTGGAACGGAAAAATTCAAACAAGAAGCTTATGAATCCACTCTAACCCGCTTTTTAAGCGTATAATCACAATTTAAAGACTGTTTAGACCCTCAGGGGTGAAAGTGGCGAAGGACAGGACTAAATAAATACATAAACAGACCGTAAACACCAAAATAAACACGTAAACAGACAGAAACACGGACGCACCGACTTTAGGATCTCCCGCTAAATGCTGCACCCGTCACTTCTCCAGGAAGTGACACAACTACCGCCTCAGCCGACAAAATAAAAGTCGCGAAAACCAGTCTTTACCAGAGCCGGTTAATGAGGAGTCTGGCCGCTTCCTATTTCCCCCCCTTATATCAAAAACAGGACTGCTGAACAGCAGAGGGCGCCCGCGAGCGAGTCCTCAATGAATGGGAGTGAATGGAGCTCAACGGCTAAAAACGAAAAGTTAAAATAGTTTCTAATCTCTCGCCCAGAACGTTTCTTTCATTTTAGAAAGTAGAAGGATGGATTTCACTAAAAAACAAAGAAATCTCACCTGTATGTTTCCTTTTTTCTACAGCAAACGGGTTTTGGGCAGCAGAAGGCGGGCTTTACTGCTAGAGCGTGATGATTGATTGGCGAGCGGAGCAGCTCATTGGCTGTTCGCTCGCTGACGTCATGGACATCATGCGGCACCGTTTTAAACTCCTATAACTCGAATTTAAAAGCTCTTAAAAATATAACAGCAGTGTTAAAATGTTTTATGCTGTTCTGTGTTCAGGTAATGAATGTATTCTTTTACATTAAAAATGTTTCAGCATTTATAAACTATGATTTTTGCTCAAATCTGCTCCATATCAACCCATTCATTCTGGACTCGCTCAGGAGCGCCCTCTAGCGTTTGGGAAAACCAGAAGACATTGCAGAGGGTAATTCTCCTCTCTATAAGTTCTCTGTCTTTACATCTTGCAGAAAAGTAATAGATTCCTGAATTTCTGTGACCAGCTTTATGGAGAGACACTTGATTAACTGGCTTTCCTCTTGTGTGTGTGTGTGTGTGTGTATATATGCATCCTCCTGCACTGTTCACATATTCTTATATGGTGTCTGATAATGTGTTGTTCTGACGTTGGTTGTATATTTAGTATGTTCTTTTAATAATAATAAAAAAAGTCACGTAAACGGCAAAATTTCAACGCCGTTTTTATACACAAAATTAAATTAATAACGTTCTCAAATGGGAAGACTAGTAAATGTCTTATTTATGACATTTATGGTGTAGTATGGTATAGTAACTGCATCACCATTTAAGGTGGAACGGAAAAATTCGACCAAGAAGCTTATAGATCTATTCCTACCTCCTCTATTTATGACATTTAACATGAGGCATATGACATTTGATAAAAAAAAATTAAAAACATAACAATACAAATGTGACTGTGTTAAATATGTATCTCTTGCTCTTAAAGGCTATCAGTTGTACCATATTCATAAAAGGACATTTTATCAACATTATGTTTAATCTGAGTTTTTAAAATTAAAATAATAAAATTAATGTTTTTTTTTAACTTCATATTAAAAAAATAACAATAACAGTGATATTTTTTTGGTACTTTATTGCACATAATTAAATTCACCAAATAGCAGAGTAGTTTGGGTAAATTAGATTGAGATTAGATTAAGTGACCCTTTATTAGATTAGTCCCACAACAGGGAAATTTCACCTCTGCATTTTAACCCATCCTTGCAGTGAAAGACCACATACACACTAGTGAACACAAACACTAGGGGGCAGTGAGCACACTTGCCCGGAGTGGTGGGCAGCCCTATCCTCAGCGCCCAGGTGGCAGTTGGGGGTTAAGTTCCTTGCTCAAGGACCTCAGTCACATACTGTCGACTCAAGGGATGAACCGACGACCTTCCGCTCGCAAGGCTGGCTCCCTAACCTCCAGCCCCCGACTGCCCCGCTGAACTAAAAATACAACAAGCTCATAAAAGAAATCCATGTTTTTTTTCTCCCAAATTTATTTGATTTCGCTTTAGCATACAATGAATATCATTTCACACCCCACAAAAGCAGCAGATATGAAAGGTGAAAGCAGAGCCTCATCTCTACCTAACTGGAAAGTAGTGACAGCAACTAAAACAGTCTTAACAACTGCAGCTCACTAAATGGGAAATTCTACACTAAAACATGTTTAGTTGTGTAAGACCAACACAGTAAGCGTTATAATTGAAAGCAGTGATATTAACAAGAAATTAGGCTGTTTTTTCAGAACTTAACTGGCTAAAAATGCTGCAATTTGTACACATGAAGCTGCTAAACAAGCACAGTAATAGTAAAGCAGAGCACTGAGGTCTGCGAGCAGAAGCTACTTCTTCCTCCCTCCTCTCTCCTTGAGGGCGAGGTGAATGACAGATCCGTTGTTCATGTTGTAGTAGGCAAGAGAGTTGGAGTCCTTGATGAAAATACCCTGTAGAAGGTGAAAAAAAAACAAATAAATTAAATATAAAAATAATCCAGTTAATGCTCAGTTCAGTCTAATAACGTTCATTAAAGGATAATGCATTTTACAGCTAAAGCCACAAAAAATGCAATCACAACTTTTATTTATTATTTATCTTTAATTTACTTTGTCACGTGTGGTTATTTACCAAAATCAGTTATAATCATCTTTACGTGACCCTTTTCTAATTTCTCTTCATTGCTTAGAAATAAACAGGCTGTTTTTGTGACTGTGCTTTAAAAACTCATGTAAATGAGCTCTGTTCTGATTGGCTGTCCTATATACATTAAAAATATATATTTTTTTCTTTTTCTTTTTTACAGATTAAGTAATTATATGATGAAATTATATGGGCCCTTTACATATATTTATTGCCAGCAACAATGGCAAAAGTTTACCTCAAACTGAAGCTTCTGTTTGCCGGCTGGCATTCCAGTGGCTTCATGGATCTTAACCTTTATGACGGACACCTAAACAGACAAATAACAGGTGTGTGAGAACAACTTAAACAGCAGTGCTTTTATTCAAAAGAAGAACGTTGTTCCTCTGCCCAAAAAAGAGGGAAAACTCTTTACCTGGTCCGTAAGTGGCAGAGTGAAGCTGAGCACTTGTCCACCCAGCTTCCATTCTGTCTTGTCCTGCATGTTGGGCACCTGCACTTTGACCGCCACGGGACCCTGACCGACATAAAAATAGTACAGTTAGTACAGAAATTAAAGTGTTCATCACAAAGTCCATAACTTTATTACGAAGGCACCGAGGGTACGTAGAGGCAGTATGTGTATTAGAATAAACCCTATCCTTATCTGTGCTGTCATGATGGACATATGCGAAGTCTAGGCCTAGTCTAGCTTTGGGCCTATGATAAACAATAACAATGCTAATCAAAACAAAGCAAACGATTTTTTTTCCCCTATACAGATAATGCATGCTTTAAAACAGTCTTGAACTCTGAACAATTGCTACTTTCGTACACTAGGTGGCACTGTGTGTCACTGCACAAACCAGCATGTTTTCTTCATATATATTCAATTCATTTTTGCAAATACAGCCATATGTAAGTCTGAATGGTCCCCAGTCAAATTCCACGTTTTGTTGATCTAAGTGAAATTAAGTGCAGCATTTAATGCACAATTACTGGTTATTTGCTGAACATTTAACATATTTGGGGGGTGTATACTTTTGCACAGGACATGCTACATTTAGCAAATAAACAGTAATTGTGCACTCAAATATGCAGAAGTTTGTTCTCCGTTGTTCTGTGTGAGTATGTGCTACCATGTTTTCACTTAGAAAACCAACAAAATGTCAACTGACCAGGGGTACCCAAACTTTTGCACAAGGCCATATACTGTATATTACACCACAATAAACTTCTGATTTTGTACTACTCTGTACTGTACAGTATTCATTACTGTAATCTGCACTATTCATTACAAACACTGAATTATGTGGACATTATATTGCGATAGGATATTCTGGTCATATCGTCCAGCCCTAGTCCAGTGTGTATACTGCAGCAGTTCACACTGCACCTTGTTCCTGCGGAGGAACTCGTCCTCAGGGGATCAGGTTGTCCTCCGTCTTCATCTTTTTGCTGATGGGCTCGTCCTCGTGCGGAGGTGGAGGGTGGGCTGGGGGCATCGGGGCCGGAGCTGCGCTCGGGGCTTGTGGCACCGGAGGAGCTGGAACAAACGCTGAGGAGCAGAGCAGAAAAACACTTTCAGTACTGGGTCTTTGTGGCTGATTTGGTGGAACTGCATCTGGATCAGGCTGATACACAAAAATGGAAAAATAGGCCGATTCAGGCTGCAGTAAGTCTTACATGTACACAAACAGGTTTTTCAAATCAATGATGAACAAGCTACGTCAGTGATCCTGGAGATTTTTCACATTAGTTTCAGTTTCTAATCCACCACATCTGGTTCATTTCAATCCAGGGAGCCCAGTCCTGGTCCTGGAGAGCTCACCTTAAACCCCAGTCTGACACAGCTGACACAGGTAAAGAAGGACTTCAGGGGTGTCTGAATATTACAGCCATATGTGTCTAAACCAGGGGTCGGCAACATGCGGCTCTTTTACTGCCCTGTTGTGGCTCCACAGCAGAATCAGATTAGTAGGTAAAAATAAAATAATCCTCCTTTACAGTAAAATAAAGCTCTGCTGATCGTTCAACACAGTTTAACAATAAATGGTCTTAAACTCTGGAGTTAATGTAGAACTGCTGATTCACCCTTTAACCCTGAAGATCAGCACAGACTGCTGGTCACCATAGCAACACAGACAACAGACTCGCCTAGCTAGTAGCTAACGAAACGGCAGAGAGAGATTTAAGACGAACATCGATAATTTAAAGACGAATTGACTTATTTGTGTTTATAATCACTCCAGCTGGTTTCCTGATACGTTTAATCTGCAACGAGAAACTGACAAACACTACAAAGTTTCTTATTCGCCAGCTTCTTGTTCAAATTTTCCCATTCCACCTTAAATCGTGCAGCAGTTACATTCTGGCACCTCAGGCGCTATTTAAGATGGAACAGAAAAATTCGAACAAGAAGCTGCCGAATGAGAGGCGACTTCCGCCTCGTAAAAAGTCAAACGTTGAGAGACATTTTACTAAAAACTGTTTTACTTTTGAGGACAAGTTTCCTGCCGGAGATGTGAGAAAAGCAGCTATAGCTGAACTAAAGCTTAAAGCAGAGCAAAGTAAGTCTGTGTTTTCATTTATATTATGTTTTTTCGCCTATCCTAGTATATTAGCCC